TGCCCTATGCACAGTCACTCATGTGTTAGTCACCTCCCAGATTGACTACTGCAATGCTCTCTACCTGGGGCTGCCCTTGAAGACCACTCACAGCTGGTGCAGAATGAGGCTGCGCGGGTTGTAATGGGAGGATCCTGATACTCCCATGTTACACCTCTCCTGCGTGATTTGCATTGGTTGCTGGTTGCCCTCCGGGTGAGATTCAAGGTGCTGGTGTTAACCTATAAAGCCCTTCATGGCTTAGGCCCAGGATATCTGTCGGACCACCTGCAACCAGCATCGACTTCCCATCGCCCGGTGCGTTTCCACAGAGAGGGCCTACTCAGGGTGCCGTCGGCTAGACAATGTCAGCTGGTGACCCCCAGGGGTAGAGCCTTCTCTGTGGCCGCGCCCACCCTTTGGAATCAACTTCCCGTGGGTCTTCAGCTGGCTGCCAACCTTCGTACTTTCCGCTGTGAGCTTAAGACCTGGCTGTTTAAATGCCCTAGCCAGGACTGATGGGGTCTACTGTTTTAAATTTTAAATGGTGGCACGGCAGCTTCCACAGTACCTGGATAAAGCTGTCTATCTAGATCCGCTCCAGTCCGGCTTCAGGCCTGGGCACAGCACAGAAATGGCATTGGTTGCGTTGGTGAATGATCTCTGGAGGGCTCGGGATAGGGGTTGTTCCTCTATCCTGGTCCTGTTAGATCTCTCAGCGGCTTTTGATACCATTGACCATGGTATCATGTTGCACCGGTTGGAGGGATTGGGGGTGGGGGGCACCGTTTTCTAGTGGTTCTCCTCCTACCTCTCTGACCAGTCGCAATCTGTGTTGGCAGAGGGGCAGCGGTCGACCCCGAGGCGCCTTGTTTGTGGGGTGCCACAAAGGTCGGTCCTCTCGCCCCTTTTGTTCAACATTTATGTAAAGCCTCTGGGTGAGATCATCCGTGGCTTTGGGGTGGAGTCCCATCAGTACGCTGATGACACCCAGCTGTACATCTCCACCCCAGGCCACCCCAATGATGCCCTTGAAGAGATGTCCCGGTGCCTGGAGGCCGTGTGGGCCTGGATGGGGAGAAACAGGCTCCGATTCAACCCTTCCAAGACCGAGTTGCTGTGGCTTCCGGCGTCCCGATATAGCCAGCTGGTGCCATCACTGGCTATTGGGGGGAAATCTCTGGCCCCCACGGAGAGGGCTCACAACTTGGGCGTCCTCCTGGATGCACGGCTGTGAAGAGCATATGATGGCTGTGGCCAGGGGGGCTTTTTATCAGGTCCGCCTGATATGCCAGTTGCGTCCCTTTCTGGATTGGGACTCCCTACGCACGGTCACTCAGGCACTCATCACTTCCCGCCTGCAATGCTCTCTACATGGGGCTCCCCTTGGGGTGCACCCGGAGGTTCCAGTTGGTCCAAAATGCGGCCACGTGGGGGATTATGGGAGCGACGGGGCCCTCCCATGCGACACCTCTCCTGTGCGAGCTGCACTGGCTTCCGGTGGTCTTCTGGGTGCGCTTCAAGGTGTTGGTGACCACCTTTAAAGCGCTCCATGGCTTAGGGCCGGGGTACCTACGAGACCGCCTTCTGCCGCCAATAGCCTCCCACCGGCCAGTTTGCTCGCACAGAGAGGGCCTCCTCAGGGTGCCGTTGGCCACACAATGTCGGCTGGCGACCCGCAGGGGGAGAGCCTTCTCTGTGGCGGCACCTGCTCTCTGGAACAACCTACCCCCAGAGATATGCACGATACCAGACCTCCGGACTTTTCATTGGGCCCTGAAAACACATCTATTTCATCTGGCCAGGCTGGCTTGATCCCATCCTTTCAGTTTTAATTTGAAATTGTTTTTAACTGGGTTGTTTTAAATTGAGGGCCGAAATTATTTAATGTCTTTTAAACTGTTTTTTAAATTTTATATGTTATGTTTTATCTCGGCTGTTCACCGCCCTAAGTCCTGTTGGAGAAGGGCGGTATAGAAATCAAATAAATAAAATAAATAAATTGGTTTTTAGTCTGTTTTAGAATGTTTTAATTTGTATTTATTGGGATTGTTTTGTTTGATGTGAGCCGCCTTGAGTCCTTTGGAGAGAGGGCGGCATAAAAATCCAATAAATAATAAAATAATAATAATAATAATAATAATAATAATAATAATAATAATAATTGATGCAAAAGGGGCCCAAACCAAGTACTGAGTACATATGCATGCTTATACTTTTCAGAGGTCCGATATTGTTCTATGTACAATCCTTGTTTTATTGATTTCATGTAATATTCTAATTTTCTGAGATTGTGAATTTAGGGTTTTCATGAGCTGTAAACCATAATCATCAAAATTATGATAAATAAAGGCTTGAACTATCTCACTTTGCATGTAATGAGTCTATCTCATATATTAGTTTCACCTTTTAAGTTGCATTACTGAAATAAATGAACTTTTGCATGATATTCTAATTTTTCGAGTTTCACCTGTATGATATTGCTCTTTTGAATAATCTCTAAATTGGAAAATCTCCATATCTGCTTTGTTTCTTTCCAACCAATTGGTCCAGTTTTGTTACTACAGTAGCATCAAATGAAAAGTTCGGCTTAGCACTTGAAGCAAATCTTTCTGGGTTCTGGACAAACTTAATATTAAATGGATACCCATCTGCAATACAGACCCTTGGTTTTCTACTGGATAGATCAAAGACATGTAAAGCAGATTTACTGTATTTTTTATTCATTAGCAATCAGTGAGTCAGATTCACCAAATGGGTTGGTTCCTAGAGTCATCTAAAAAGAATATCTTCAATCTGTATGTAAAAATGTTCCATCTGCGCTACCTCAGGGCAATCATGTTGATAATTCTACTTTGAGCCCTCCTGTTGAAGATCAGTCATGAATGCTATTGGGATATACAAGGAAATGGCGGTGTGGTAAGAAATGCATCACAGCATCATATGATTAGCAGGAGGCTCAGCCCGAATACTTCTCAGAGGTGTGTTTAATCTGAAAGAGCATTTATCCTCCTCCCTGACCTCCCTGCTTATCTTTTATATATTAAAATTAAAAGGGGGAGGGAGGAGGAGACTTCATCCTGACAGTTGCCATTTGTATTCTAAAGCAGGGGTCTCCAACCTTGGCAACTTTAAGCCTGGAGGACTTCAACTCCCAGAATTTCCTAGCCAGCTTTGCTTTGTTGGCTGGGGAATTCTGGGAGTTGAAGTCCACCAGGCTTAAAATTGCCAAGGTTGGAGACCCCTGTTCTAAAGTCTTCCAGTTTCCCAATGCAATGAAAGACAAGCTAGAGATTTCCAGACAATTGAAATAAAATGGCCCCTGGCTAAAACTTGCTGATACATCATAACAGCTTCTTTGCACAGCCCTTACTAAGCAGTAATCTTTTAAACTCCAGCATCGGAAACCTTTTTGATCATCTGCCTGCTGCCTGGATCTTGGAATTGCTGGAGGTAGAGCTTTGCTACCGGCACATCCCAAAGATGCCTTTGACTCATTTGATCACATAACAAGTAGAGGATGCCAAGTTCTTGCTTGTTTCATTTTGCCCAGCAGGAAGTCTTCTCCAAAGACAGTCATAAGCGTTGAGAAGCTTTATTTAAAAAAAAAACAGCATCAGGACACTCTGACTTTCTCTCTCTCTCTCTCTGGGAAACATGGCAATTGTTAAAATAAAAATACAAGGTAGCTGCACATTTTATATACCTCCCACTGTCCTAGAAGCAAGTTCTGGGACTTCAACCTAAGTCTAAACAGAAATCTACAGAATTAGTTTGTCAAATATGGGAAGCACTTCCAGGCTGGAGCAATGTTTTGCTGATCTAAAGCAATTGCAAATCAGAAATGAACAAATGAAGAAAACCTCATTCTGCTGACACCAAATACAGTGATGCCACTTACCCTTTATTTCCTTGGAGAATAAGATTATTTACACCCATTTGATTTCTTTTCCTCTGGTGTTACAGCAGATTGAATTAATTGAGGTGGGAGGTAAGGATTTAAAGAGTTTATTGCCTGTATAAAATCCCTATCCAGTTTTGGACCATCACATTTGTGTTTTCCTTTTTAAGTAATAATAAATTGTCACTTGCCAAGAACAGTGTTCTTTAAACTTCTTTCTCATATCTAACCACAGCATGAGCTTGTTTTAGTAACAGCTTTTTTATATAGTGTCCTTGTGATGTTGCCTTTGTCTCATTGTCTAATTCACTTGTGAGGCAATGTAATGTCTTTCTTAACTGTTCCAGTTTTAAAGTAATGTCTTCCTCCTTCTCCTGACACAATTTTGGCTGTGGATATTTGCTAACAGGGTTCTTGGAAATGACAGCTGGTGTGATCAGAGATGGGTTCTCCACCTCCTACTGGCCATTTTAGGCTGCTGCAGGCAAATGGTGTCCCTCCAGTCAGAAGGAACTGCCTTTCAGGGCCCTTTTGGCTTGGCAATAAATTGTTTGTATAAGAGACCAGATATCTGTCATATGGCAAAGGCACCTGCCTGTATAATGCCCAACCAGCACTTTCCATAAACTGCAGTAATTGGGATGGCAAAGAGATAGAGAAATAGAATTCTGCAGCCTAGATCTGATAGTCCTATCAAAGGTGCACTGCTATAATTTTACTTATGGGACCCTGATATTTATAAAATCAGAGAAAGGCCAGAACTTTTTCAAACTTTGTGAAACTGATTTGAACAGATTAAGATGAGGAAGAGGATTTAGATATACTGGATCTCCTGAACAGGATCCTAACATAATTAGATGTATGTAGACAAACTCTGTACCTTTCTCAAAAATTTCTGCCATGCAGTTCTAAACTACTTCTGTTTATGATAACAACTTCTACACAAGTTTTTTTTCTTGTACAACAGTCATAGACACAATATTAGGATGTCTTGGCATGTTGAATTTTCAGAAAAGAAGATTAAATATGTTTAAGCTCTTTATTGAATGTTCCACTTCAATTTTTTGCCTTTCTTCCAATCCTCCCTAAAACAAAACAAAAAATAAACACCTCCAATCAATACCAAAAGAATCAAATCATTTATTTGAATAGAAAAGGATAGTATCGTTAAAACAAAATGGATCCTATCAATATGCCAATGGACAGAATATTCTCCTTATATCTCAGAGGTAGAACAACCTCCAAAGGTTTCAAGAGGAAATAGATATCAGCTATTTGAGGCAGCACATGTGAATATTAGTATGCATAATATTAAATGTATATGCCTGGATAGTTGTTTTCTTCAGGAAGGAATGAAAAGATCTGAGTTTCCCATTCCTGCACAATTTCTGCTTAAGCCAAAGAGTTGTTGTGAGTGCAGATATGTTAGGAACTGTGTGAATCAGCAGAATGAATTTTCTCTTTCAGTCCAGCTCCAACAGAATCACCCTTCTTACTTTTTGATAAACAGATGTTGTTTTCCTGCTTTAAACATGGACTCATGGTGAGGAGGTGCCTGCAGGCAATTATTCAGAAGCTGGACTACAGCTGTGCATGACTTTGTATAGTCATGTACAAAGTCTTTGATTTTTTTTTAAGTGGCTGCTTATATAAGATTTTGAGATATAGCTTTCTAAATACAGTAGGACAAGAACTAGAATGTATCTGAGCCTAGTTGGAGTCCAATTATGTTCTGCAACCTTAATAAGAAGGCAGCCTAGTGGTCCAGGACTGTCCTTAGTCCAACTGTCATCAGATATAAGTCAGAAAACTTGGGAAGAGATCTTTGTAGCATCCCCTGATTCTGACATTCTCTACCTGGAAAAGTAGCTTAAATGCCACTCTTTGTACTTTTGTGTCAGACTTTTTCGTAATTTCGTGAGTAGAGTGAAAACAAATCAATACACTGGCATAAGACTGTATGACCTTCTGGGGAAGTGGGAAATGGCTAATTTATATCAATAGCAGTAAAACTTAGATTTATATACTGTTTCATAGTGCTTTACAGCCCTCTAAGCAATTTACAGAGTCAGCGTATTGTCCCCAACAATCTGGGTCCTTATTTTACCAATCTCAGAAGGATGGAAAGCTGAGTCAACCTTGAGCCTGTCAGAATCAAACAGCTGGCAGTCAGCAAAATTAGCCTGCAATACTGCATTCTAACCACTGTGCCACCATGTTTTTTCTTTACATTTCATGAACAAAGAAAATCAATCTTGAGGCCCTCTAATTTGGCAATATTGGCTGTAATAATGGGAGATACATTCAACACATATAGAGTACCAGTCTGGAGAGCAATACACAACCATCTTGTATAAATTATTGTTATCTTATATATTTTTGGTGATAGCTGAAGAACTTCTGCATTCCTTCTGGTTTTGAAAATCCTTTTCCAACCATGTCTTTTTGCTGTTGCTTTAACTGACATTTTATTCTGTAGTATTCTTATTGCTGTTGATCTATGAATAAATGTCCTTTCATTTTTATCATTTCAGTGAGTCCTGGCAGTATTATGTCCTTCAGATCACAAAGAATCAGAAATGATTGAAAAACTGAAGCAATATAGCCTGTTTGGTACAACTAGCAGAGCAGAATATACATTTATAAGATGAAATAACTAAACTGCTACATCAGATCCAAATGCTACTTTTGGCTTCTTACAGTGGTCCATCAACTACTTCTCAGAAGTGCGCAAAGAAGGCTCAGATGTGATTCCTTCCATTTGTCCCAGTTCCTGCACATTTGTGTTTGAACCCTGGAAAAGATGGTTCCATTTCTCAAGGTCAGAGAGCTATTGTTTCTCATCTCATATCCTGTGGTAATGAACTGTACTAAGTCATGGAAATAAACTGTGCAAAAATATAATTCTTTTTTTTTTTTTTGCTTTCTCTGATCCCACTCTTTCTGGAATATCCTGATGTATGCACTTATTGATAGATACAGTAGTTTTAACTGACATGCTCGAAAGTCAGCAGCTTGGCTTCATCAAATTCTAGGAGGGTGACATCTACTAAGGCCTAATTTTCACCTAGCTGATTAGACCATAAGACTTGAGAAAAACAAAAAACAGAGGAACAGCTGATCAAATCTTGCAATGGCCAGTCTGGACTGAGCACCAGCAAAACCCCATTACTAATTTCCTGAAAACTGAAGGTCTGAGAAATAGCATCATGGGACACCAGCCACCTAAACTGCAATACAGAATTGTCCCAAGTTAGCACAGCAGGGATCTCCAACCTTGGCAACTTTACGACTTGTAGACTTCAACTCCCAGAATTGCTCAGCCAGCACCACAAGTCATAAAGTTGCCAAGGTTGGAGACTCCTGATCTAGAAACCACATCTCACAACAAGAAGACCTTAGTTAGTCATAGAAGCAAACCAACAACTGTATCTACACAAGGCAACTGGACTTTCTTGTTTTCTTTTTCCTTGAAAATGTATCACTTCTCATCCAAGAAGCTTCTTCAATTCTGAAGAAGCTTCTTGGATAAGAAGCAAAACATTTTCAAGGAAAAAAACCAAGAAAGTCTAGTTGTCTTTTGAACAGCATCTTTGGGACAATGATGACCTGGATGACTCTGGAGAATCTCTATAAACAACAGTATCTACACATTACCTGCATCCCACTGACAAAAACTAAACTCAAATCCTTTTTTAGATAATACATAATACTTTCTGGCTAGTTTTCAACATCCTGGCTAGCTGCATTGTAGAGTGGTCTTTCTTCTTGCAGCAACATGAATTCTTCATCTCTCTCATTTGAATGGGGCCAAAAGACTTTACTCATGGTTTTCAACTATATTTCTCCTCTATTGTTCTCAGTTAGGGAGCCTGCAAGTCATCACATGGTTTAAGATAAGTTTGTTCTAATCACTGAAAAGAGGGGATACGTCTGCCTGTGTGAGTTAGATTTTGATGTGGTCTAGTTCCTGTCCTTTGGGAACCTCATCGTTCTTATTCTCCACTTGTCTGCAAATCCTTCTTGACACTATCTTGACTGGCACCACAGCCCACTCCTATTAGATCAGTGGAAGAGCCCCTTTACACTCTCTTCTCCTTTGTTGTGCCTATTTCCCAACCAGACAATGGGAGCTTCTTCTCCTAGGTTTTGAAGGTATCTCCCATCCCATGCACTTCCGGTGCCCATTCTTCCCACTTTAACAAAGCGAGAAGCGGCGGGAATTGATGTTCATTTTTGTCACGCCAATGAGCTTGAGTGGGGTGGAGAGGCTAAAGGAAGAAATGAGGGGGCAATCGCAGAGGAGGTCAGAGAGCTCATCCCTCTCTTCCAGCTCATAGGTGGCATCATTCAGCATTCGCCGGTGGAGATGGCAGGTCTGCTCAATCTTGAGTTTGTTGATGTCACTGCGCAGGCGCATAAGCTGCCGAGCCAGCTGCTGGTCCTGGAGACGCATTTCCATCTGGAACACAAAAACAGGAAGGGCATGACAGGATGGCAGAGGATCATCAAATCAGGAGGAGACGCAAAGACTTGGGATATTGCAACGTGTACCACTTTTGACAGAAAATGAGATGGCTTATATTCATCACCACTGCTGCCATAGTTAAAATTCCTGATGTATGGGTCTAGGAAAGCCTTTGTCCCATGACAAGTTCTTTTTTTGTGACCTACTTCATGCCTGCCACAACTTGCAATTGGAATGGGAAGGCTCCATTATGGTTGTAAGTTGAGGACTACCTATACAGCAATTTCTACATGATAGGGGAGGGGGGGTTGGGATTTAAAAAACAAAAACAAAACTAAGATTGCAATTGCAGCAACATGACCAAAGCTATGTTGTTTTGTGTACTGGTAGTCCTCAACTTATGACCACAGTTAAGCCCCAAATTTCATAGTTAAGCAAGGCACTTGTTAATTGAGTTACTCTCCTTTTTTGCCACAGTGGTTAAATGAATCACTGCAGTTGTTAAGTGAATTGTGCAGTCATTTAGTGAATCTGGCTTTCCCCTTTGACTTTGTTTACAGTAACAGTAACAGAGTTGGAAGGGACCTTGGAGGTCATCTAGTCCAACCCCCTGTTCATGCAGGAGACCTATACTAGGGGTTTGAACCGCCAAATTGCTGACTTTTCTGATCGACAAGCTCAACATCTTAGCCACTGAGCCACCTAGCCAGGCTTGTTAGAAGCTGGTTGGGAAAGTTACGAACATGACCCTGGGACAGTGCAACTGCCATAAATATGTACCAGTTGCTAAGCGCCTGAATTTTTATCACGTAACTAATGTCTTAAGTGTGAAAACTGGTCATAAATCCCTTTTTTTCAGTGCTGTTGTAATTTTGAATGGTCATTAAATGAATAGTTTAAGTTGAGGACTACCTGTTTGTGTTATGTTAAATGCTCATACAAAGGAATGATCTAGTGTTTCCCTAACTGCTACCCTCCACATATGTTAGAAATAAAACTCTCAGAACTAGCAGGTCACAACTAACGGTTCACCTGAACCGGTACGAACCGGCTGAATCCTACCCCTGTCTTAATGCTAGATTTAATTAATAACAAAACCAATCCTCACCCTTTCACACTGTTCTATGCTACCCAAACACCTTAACAAAATTCTGGATAATGATGATTGCAATACGGCCCTACACATAATATTCGATTCACAAGTGTACAATTTACCTCTGTTGGACGTCTGCCACCTAGTGGCCACCAAAGCTTTTGAATTTAATTGCTGTTCCTGTTGCCTCATTTACATAATCCCTCTTTTTCCCCATGACTGAAACTTTGGAGAAGCTTTTACAAAATATTCCTTTACTGAGGGCAGTTTATATGCATTTCCCAAAGGCTGTTCCTGAAATTATCTGAACAATGCACATTAAATTCCCTCAGTAAGGATATATTTTTCAAAACATGTCAGGCCAGCAGTAGAATAATGTTTACTGGTGCCTGGGAATCACTCTCTAATGTTTTGCCTTTGCCTGCTCTTCTTCTGGGAAACTGTTGGCAAAATGAGAGGGTGGCAGAGATAAACAAAATGTGTCTCATGAACAAATGCCAAAAATCTTCCCTCCAAAATCAATTAAGATACAATGAATGCAAGTGTCTCCGAACAAGAAATGCAAATAATACTTGGGGGGTGGGACTAGTACAAATTTGATTGTATTGATTTGATTAAAATTAAATAACAGTGAATTGATACAGTTAATAGGATTAAAATCTACATATTTAACCAATATAAAACCAGTTTGGCATAGTGGTTAAAGTGCTGGCCTATAAACCAGGAGTTCTAATCCTACTTTAGGGATGAAAACCAGTTGGGTGACTTTGGACCAGTTAGTTTCTTACACCTCAATCCATCTCGCAGGATTGTTGTGGAGAAAACAGGAGGAAGAGGAAGGAGTATTACATATATTTGCCAACTTGAGTTACATATAAAATAATAAAGGTGGGATAAAGGTAAAATAAATAAATTTTCCTTTTCTATTAATGAAAAATTCCATTGAAGAAAAATTTGGAGATCTTCTCAAGACAGTAAAGGGTCATTTGTACCCTGGAACTGTAAAATTATGCATCCTGTTTTGTTTTTCTTTAAATCAAACAATGGGTGCTCCTTTCCTGATAAAAAAAGTAAGTGAAACTTGAAGAAAAGTTAACTGCATACTGTCCAAAGTGAGTTTGATAATTGGTCAATTTGATACCTCAAATTGACCAATAAATAAAATACAGATTACAGTTATTGCAGTTCACAACAGAAAGTGACTGTTTTGTTTGCACAAGGAGATTCTGTGTAGTCAACAATATTCAAACGGCCCTTCACAGAGAGAAAATCTATCAACTTCTGCCAGTCACAAAACGGCAGCAAGTCATTCAGACAGGTTTTTGCCTTAGAAAGTGGTGGATTATGATTAATCTAGTGTTTCCCTAACTGCTACCTTCCACATATGTTGGAAATAAAACTCTCAGAACTAACATGTTAGCTGAGAGTTCTCAAGAATTGTAGTTCCTGTTCATCTGGAGGAAAGATGATTTATTCGTGTCATTTGGTCAGGTTTATTGGCTTTGTTGATGTTATCTGCCAACCTTACTTCTGAAAAAGGTCTTTAATTCACTTTACTCCTGTATTTTCCCTGAGCATCATCTTCAGAACTGTAAAGCCTACAAACTTGAAATTTGGCACATACGTTCCTCTTGGCTTCTAGGTGCTCGCTAAGAAAGAATTTATTGAAATGACCATCAGATTATTAGTATGTCATATACAGTATATTCATATATAGTATATTAGCATGCTCTGATGCTAAGAAGTTAGACATTCTACTCCCCCTCCCCACCTGAAAAGTTCCAACTGCCACTTGCCTCACATTCCGTTACCTCAGGTCAAAGTGGCAGACATTTCACTCCTTCACTCAGGGATGGTCTGGGGCTCCTTACAGTACTAAACGTCGGTATCTCACCAAAATGTCTATGCCTTCCACCTATGGAACTGCTTCCGAGCTCAAGGTGGCAGGAGAGATATTCCCTTATGTGTTTCAATCACCAACCACCACTGAGCCAACGCATTGTGAACCAAATTTCTCCTGCATAGTGTCCCAGCCCCAACTCACTTCTTACACTGACCTCCTCAGTTCAGACGAATCTGTTCCTTCTACTGTAACACCAGTTAAATGGAAAAGACTGTCTTTCTGTTGCCCGGAAGTACAACGGATGCTTCAAAATGATGTCTTTTGGAGCCAGAGAGGTGAAGGAGGGAAATTTTATGTCAACATTCAAAGTGCAGGGGCAGGTCTACCACAGGATAGGGAATATCGTGGCGGGGCCTCAGCAGCAACCTTCATTTCTCCAGATATACTTTGTTGATGATGATGATGACAATGAGAGTCCGTCAAGACCAAGGGGATGCTACAATGGTCCTAAGTGTGAAAAATGGTCATAAGTAGCAAAGCACTGGTATCCATATAGTTTGTTATAAAACCAATATGACAGTTGAGTGTCAGATTGATAAAGGTTCTGTTTTGTAAATAGCCAGTTGCAATCTTCCCCATTGTCAGTGAAGGGACTTGATTACATAGCAGATTACAAACAGACTATTGGGGGGGAGGGAATTAGAAACTCTCCATATTAACATACAGTACATAGATATATATATTGGTTCTAACTGAAAATATTTCAGTTGCTGGAATACTTTAACCCCAAGCTATTCATTTTAGTAAATCTTGCTAAGGAGAACTTTGTGAGAATCTTCCTTGAAAAGAATCACTTTGAGATTTAGGTGGTTGCTAAAGAGTCTGATGACCGGGTTGGAGATTTAACAAATACTAAATCTGATTACATAGGATCACATTTCAAAGGCAGTCTTTCATGAAATGCTAAACATGCTTAGTTTGGTAGCTATCCTTGTTTTCTTTCTAAGAGGTTGCTGGTAAAAGCAGAATGTCAGATTAGATTAAAATTAATGCATTATTGTCAGGCCATTCTGTGTCTTTGTGGCTTTACAACATGGTTTTTATTTTTAGATTTTTTTTTTCTGTACTGATTCCCCCCCCCTTTTTTTTTCTTACAAGAATTGGCTTTTCACCAGCTGCAGTCCAATAGCATCAAACTTTTCCCAGGGAGATAAAGATTCTTGCCATCAAGAATTTTCTGCCTTCAGAGTGAGAAGACTTTTTTGTACTCTAGTAAAATAAAAACAGAAAGGTTGAAAGTGGGAGGGAAGACGCTGGTATTTTGCTGATAAAGGGCACAAGGGAAAGCTTGGGATGGTTGACAGAAGAATTACATGGACAATGAGGAGAAAGATGGCACTGCTGGATCCCATCCCATGTTCAGTACTTGTGTTTAGTTTTTGGTAGCTTGGATAACTAGCAAGCTTCTTGCATAGTAAAATATTATTTGGGAATATAAAAATATACAGGGATAGAAAAATAATAGTTTCAACTCCACAGGGATACAGTGTTGATCTCTAAAGTCTGCTAAAGCATAAAATCTTCTCTGATCTCCTTCTGGCTTTTTAAGAAAGATTCCTTCAACGAAGAGATGTAAGAAGAAGAATGAATGAATGCATCTCCGAGTCTCATTTTCGTTCTTTTTTCCTTGCTACCATTTTTCCCAGGTCAACTTATACTCTGCTTGTGTGACCTGGAGTGCTTCTGACAGTCAGTTCCTGGCATTCATTCAATCAAAAGCCATTGTATAAGTGATTCCATCTTTCTTTAGTAAGAGAAGCAGGGAAGCAGTGATGAAAAAGCATGGGAATATTTCATGTTGAAAATTATGTTGTCTGGACACCCCCCAATACAAATTCTATTGAATGGAAGAAGCTTTCCTCCTTCCAGAAACAGAGTATGCAAAACTCTATCCAACCAAATTGCATGAAAATAAAAGAATGAGCTTCAATGAATTTTTGTATTGTTTTTTCTTTATCATGTTTTTTTTCTTTATCCTTAACACTCAGTTACTGTAACACTTTTAAATAAGAAGAATGTATTGCTAAACTGAAACAATGATTGGCCAGTATAGTTAATTTAATTCATTAATTTGCTAGATTGCTTGCTTGTCTGTCATCCAAGAGCTTTGCACATGGCATATAATGTTCTTCCAACTTTTTCACACAACTCTTTGGGGCAATTTTATACTAAGAGGATTGAGGATAAATCTGAACTTCGGTCTCTCCAGTTCCAATTCAGCAGCACAACATTACATTCCCAAATGTTTTTAGGAGGACCATCAGAAAAAAAATAAATAAGATAGTAATCCTTTTCCTAGGTTTTCCCTGCAGCATCTGGTATTCAAAAATGCACTTCTTTTGAACTCTAAATTCTACTTCACTCCTATGACTTAAAGAAATTAATTTCCTTCCATTAATACTTCCCCAGCCAGCTTTTAAAGCTATCCATCTGATGACCATATCCCCATTTTGAGACAACAGTGTAATGTTAAATACTCTTGGTAAGGAATAAGTCCCTGCTCACCAGGGGACTGCTAGAAGCAGTTTAGGATTGCATGGCACTTTATATACCGGTACTGTAAGAATTATTTTCTGTAGTTAGAATTGCATTAATTTTTATGAGTGGTTCCATGTTTGAAGAGAAAAAAGCAGTAAACATACCTCTTTCCTTTTCGTTCTTTCTTTTTCCCCTCTCTCTCATTTTACTGGGGTCTATGTAATTTGACAGGACTCTATTATAACTTTTCACTCCATCTGGGTAGTAATCACTACTTTGAGGGATCTTTGGTGCTCTCCAAGTTTGGTTGTTTTTTTTTTTTTTGTAGACATTTCATTATCTAATCTAGGTAACATCATCATAGTTGGGTAATGAAACATCTGCAAGAAAACAAGCAAGCTCAGAGAGAGCCAAGGACCCCTCATTTCAACCCTGAGCAACAAATATTCTCCTTTATTGGAATCACTACTTTAAAAAAGAAAAGAAAAGGGCATTTGAAACTATTTTTAAAAAATAAGTCTCAGATGTGGCTCTGTTTTTTTTTTCTATCTCATTGATTCCAGGTTTAGGAATTTTTAATCTCAGACTCAGTGCTTCCTTTTAGCTTTACAGAATCATTTCTCATCTTGCTGCATGGAACAATTATATAGGCTCTATGTAGAAATTCATAAGTATTTTGCTAATTCTTCCTCTTTTTTTCCTCAGTTCAGTTCATGGCCCTACAAGCATTTCCATCAAATCTAAAGAAAGTGGCATTTTAATCACATCCTCTATTTTCAATCTCATGATGAAATGGTCTCACCCTTGGAATTGGGTGGTTTTCTTAAAGTCATATGAACAGATTTTTCCTTCCCATGTAGGATAGGACAGTTATGGTGGGATGCAATCTATTAATTCATCAGTTTGAAGCATCACATGCCTTACCGTGCTGCTATATTGTTCACCAAGTGATTAAAATCAATAAAGCCACTCAGATAATGAGACAAAAAGTAAATATGCCTTAATAAAGTTATGTTTCTCATATATAACTCACATCTAAATTTATATATGTTTTATGAGAAATAAAAATAAAAAACTTTGAAAAAAATAAAATAAAATTATGTTTCTCCTTTACTGTTTCAAATGAGTTCAAATAATATCTTTCCCCATTTTTACATTTTCTCAAAACAGAACTGAAGCAAGGAATATGCATGTGTTTATCCTGTTCTTGCTTTTTGTAATGTGAATACCGAGCTGATAACACATGTAAGTCACAGTGGTCCATTAAAATACTGTATATCCCTTGTTCAAGCTGTCTGAAAGTCAATCAAGGGCAGCTATATTAATATTGCCATGACTGCCTGACTGTCAGATGTAAATGCCTTATTCTCCAATGTGTAAATAATGTATATATGGAACATCAGAGGTTAACTTATTCTTTGGACTTTAATGTATTCATAACTTACCACTCCCATTCCTAGCTCCACCCCTTGTATATATAAGGAGCCACCCTCACCATTCTCGTCGCTTCTACCTTGAATATTCAGTGAATATAGAATGCCTATCATAATTAAAAAGAAATATATTTAAAGCTCTAACTCCTATTATCTTTATTGAGTCTGATCCTGAAAATATTGCAACACTGACAATTATGACTCTCCCACTGAATGTCTTGTTGAAGTCAAGATCTATTAATCTTCCAGAAACCTTATAAAAGTATATAGCAAGGTACTTTGTGCTTTTGGGGAAGGAACTGGAAAAAGAAGCAGAACTAGGGGAAAGAGGAAAAGAAAACAAAACGTTTAAAAAAAAATCATTATTGCCAGGAATCTCATTTTTGTCTTTTCAGCTGTAATCCTAAAACATCCCTAGAGGTTCTGCTGATAAAGAATTTTAAAAAACAGTAGGACATTACTTACCAACTCTTTCCGGAGCCAATTTAATGCTTCATCGATGTTTCCAAAGCCACACACTTTCTCCGGGACAAACAAAATTGGCTGTCTGGAAGAGCTTCCATTGATATGAACCTGCACTTCTCTCAAAGAAATATTTTCCTCTGTTGGTTTCTTCTCTTGCTTTCCCATGTCCTCGTCAGGAGGTTTGGGATGGGTCTTCCAAGCCAGTCCTTCCAGCTGAGCTTTCCACTCCAAATATGAAGGCCTTCTAGTCTCCAGCCTCAGTTTCTCTGTCAAGGCTTTCAGATTCCTCAGATGATCATCAAATGGGGGACCACCTTCAGCCTTATCATCCACACTATCTAGCATTTCTTCTATCTGGATTTCTGGCATGGATGCCATCCTTTCTGCTGGGAAATCAGAAACATCCACTGAAAGGTTTGCAGTGGTGTCCCAGATGCAGGCAGGACCATTCAAACAAAGATTTGATCTTCAGAACTTCCTGGGCACACAGCAGTTTTTCCCACTCAATTCAAAACACTCCTTTCATCCAACCATCTAAGCAGAAAAACAAAGACATATTGTTTGATTCAGCCAGGAATCATTAAAAGAAAAAAACAAACATGCAATCAGAACTTCCTTCTATGGCTTGACTTGAGAAGAAATGGAAGTTGAATATTTCGGCTTAAGAAAACATCTAGCTAAGAGATTTTGCACAGCTATCTGGCGAAGTTCTGGGCAAGAGCAAACAAGCTTTTAGCTTTGCAGAAAAACATTTTGCTGCAATGAGACCTGTCAAGAACTATGCTTCAGGCCATAAAGTGGATTATTAAGGATGAAGTCAGACATTAAAAATAAATGCAATGATGGGGTGTTACACAATTAATAAACTGATAATTATATTGTGCTTAACATGTTCTGAACTTTTCACCATTATTCTTTGCGATACAAGAGGAAAAGAGTAGGGTAGTAAGGATGGAAAAACTGCCCTACTTCAGGAGCTTCCTTTATGGAGAGTCAAATTAGGTATCATACAGATAATGCATGTATCAGTGTCTGAGCATATCTTAAACTGAAGAGGAAATGTGGAGGTTGTAACCATCAGTGAAAGAGTATCCTGCAGAGAAAGGACTTATAGCTCATGTACAACTGAATTTTCACTCACATTTGAATCCACAGTATTGCTTTTTTGGGCAGTCACAGTGAATAATAGTTGAGGGGTTCACTTTTGAGGTATGAAGAAAGGGTTACATATTGCCACTGTTCCCCACAAATTCTCCACTCAGACCCAGCATCTTCTCTGGCTGCTTTTTAGTTATAACAAAAACACATTTGGAAGTTATTTTCATATTTTAAAATATTCATACTTTAGCATTCCAGTCTTCACTCCAGAGAAAAGTGTTAAAATTTACCTGGGATTACCCCAATTGTGGTTGATGTGAGCTTCCAAGTCTTCTTCAAACAACCATACTTGGTCACAATAAATGATAAACTGCTAACTGAATAAGCAAAGTGAGTTTTAGCAGAGGTGTGTTCAAATTTCACCTGCAATATGGTTCATGCAACTCCTATTTATTACAGAGTTACAGTCCTGTACTTGAAGCCACTTGTTCTAAAGTCCAATGTAAAGTAAAACCAACTCTTTGTCCACTTGAGAACATGGAGAGAAAGGAATTCTTGGGCATCAAGGTACATGCACATTAACGAGTAATCTGAATAACTGGGTCATTCTGTTTGCTGAATGCTACCTAGGCGTCCTGTAATTTAAACACCAAATCTGTAATTATTCCAATGGAATCTTTTCACAGAAAGAATCACCATGAAGAATACATATCCACTTTTTCATCCTCTTCAACATTTGGACAGATGACTTAAGTGAAATATTAAAATTCTTTATTGCAAATTTTGGTTTTAGCACTACCAAGATGAATTAACTTTAATTTTTTAGAAATGACTATGTATGGTAGCACAACAAGTAGAGTTATCTTACTACACCAGTACAGAAATAAATATTTGCTTCCTTAAACCACAAACTGGTTGGAGGGGTTTATACCTGTATGATGCATAAATTGGGACAAATTTATTTATATTGAAAAAAACCAAAGATGTTTCCCCACTTTCCCTAAGCATAGGACACACATGTCCCAGCAACCTTCCTTTTCTGCAAAGTCCCCATGAAGTCTGCATCTCATCTCCAGGCCATGACTGAGATAACTAGGGGAGACATGATAGCTGTGTTCCAGTATCTCAGTGGCTGCTACAAAGAAGAGGGAGTCAAGCCATTCTCCAAAGCACCTGAGGGCAGGACAAGAAGCAATGGGTGTAAACTAATCAAGGAGAGAAGCAACCTAGAAATAAGGAGAAATTTCCTGACAGTTAGAACAATTAATCAGTGGAACAACTTGCCTGCAGAAGTTGTGAATGCTCCAACACTGGAAGTTTTTAAGAAAATGTCGGATAACCATTTGTCTGAAGTGCTGTAGGGATTCCTGCCTAAGCAGAGGGTTGGACTAGAAGACCTCCAAAGTCACTTCCAACTCTGTTATTCTATATAAACTATAAGTTGTCCTTAGCCAGACTGATTTTAATGTTTTCCTCTTCATTCTAGTACCAGCCAAGAGCAATTGCAAAATGTATAAAATTCTCTCAGGAATTGTCACCCATTTTTTTTGAAGGAAACCGGCAGTGACTAGGCAAAGAATAAATAGAGGCCAGGGGTTATCTGATCGGCTGCAAAAGATCACAACATGATAGTAAAGAGATACAGAAAACTATATTGTTTATTATCTATTGGTTATCCAAAGTTTTGCATCCCAAATCTAGTAATCTGGATTACTAGAAAATGGCTAGAGGAATTTACACCTATAAACTCCATAAACTGATGGAAATTCAATTCAATTATCTTTTTCCAGATTGTCTTGAAAAAGCTAGTTTATGGTATTTCCCCACTTTCCGCTAAGCATGGGACCTACATGCCCTGGCAACATCTTTTTTTTCCTGCAAAGTCCCTTTTAAGTCTTCATCTCATCCTGAGGCCATGACTGAGATAAATGCAGGAAAAATATAGTAAATTTCATTATTCATTTATTTATTTTTTGCCGACACAAGAATGATCTCATTTTAAGAGTGGGAAAAAGCCCTAAATCATGAGGATCTGTTCCATCTTTTCCTTTCTTCTTGCATTTATAGCAGTGGTAAAATCCAATTTTTTTTACTACCAGTTCTGTGGGCGTGACTTTGTGGGTGTGGTGTGGCTTTGTGGGGGTGGCAGGGGAAGGATAGTGCAAAATCTCCATTCCTACCCCACTCCAGGGAAAGGATACTGCAAAATTCCCATTCCCTCCCGACTGGGGCCAGCCATAGATGGTATTTGCTGGTTCTCCAAACTACTCAAAATTTCCGTACTGGTTCTCCAGAACCTGTCAGAACCTGCTGGATTTTACCCCGATTTATAGATTATGTTGCCTCCTGAGAAGCTCAAAGCAGCACACTTAATGTTCTCCATAGTATTATTCTGTGTCAGGTAGTTTGGCTAAGAGATAATACAAGGGTGATTTAGCATATGGATTTATTTATTCTAAAATATCAGACAATACTATCACCTAGAAACAGATGTGAAGCTTGATGTAACCTTCGCTCTGGCATTAGAGTTCCTCTCTTGGTCATTGGGGTTCATGCAATCCTGAACAAATTTTTGTACAACTGAGTTTCATTTCTCCTGAGAATAGAAAAGCATATACTGTAGGTAGAAATCTGGTTGTCAGAACTAGCTAGGTTCACACAACCTTTAAACCTGAATTAACAAAATAGAGAGAGACAGTTTGGTTTAGTGGTTAAGAGATCAGGCTGGAAACAGAGTCTGTGAATTCTAGTATCACTTTAGACACAAAGCCAGTTGGGTGACTTTGAGTCAATCATTTTCTCTTAGCCCTAGGAAGGAGGCAATGGCAAACCACTTATTAAAGATCTTGCCAGGAAAACTTCAGGGACTTGCCCAGGCAGTCTCTGAGAATTGAACATGATTGAACAGAAGGGGAAAAAATACAACTGCTATTTTCACTTCACAAGCTCTGCCAAAAGAAATAAAGCTTATTGTTGTTTAAGACAATGGCCTAGTTACCACATGTTAAACAGCAAAGTACTCAACCATTTTAACTTAATCTAGTGATTTGGGCAAACCCAGCCACAGGGTGAGGTTGTAGCATTTAAAATGCAAGTAAGAGCTGGCACAATTTAATTATTATAAATATACACATAGAAATGTAACCTGTCTAAACTTTCTTCTCCACAATGGTTTTCCAGAATCTTTTCTCCATGCATGAACATGTTTCCAGATCCTTTCAGTTATGCTGTTGTGATTCCTAGAAGAACAAATATTTCTTTGTCCTTTTAGATATTTGTAACCCACCCTCAGTGCAAATGAACAGGAAATCTCTGAAACTTCCCCTTAATAAAGATTTAGGCCACTCGTTCCATCCAAAACTTCACAGGGTTGTTGTTGTGCGGAAAAGAGGAAGAGGAAGGAATATTAGATATGTTTGTTTCTTTGAGTTATTTTTCAAAATAATAAAGGCAAGATAAAAAAAAATTTAAAACCCCACAATAGTGCTCTATGTCAAGCCTTGACCGAAGGATATCTGTCTCCATGGTTACAATGACCCTTTTGTCCTTACATTAGGAAGATTGTTTAATCTAGGGGAATGAATCAACCAGCTTTACTAATAAAAATGGTTGTTCATGCAGAATGAGGAAATGTTTCTCTCATTCTCCTTCATTGATTCTCTGAAATAGTGGTAAATGAGACCTATCCAGCCTTGTGCTGATTTTTGTTTAGGAAAGTATGAAGATAGCTGGAATTCTCTTCAAGAAATCCAGACAGATAGCAACCAGACTCAGAAGGTTCACCAGCTACAAGAGGGTTTGCCTACTTGCATACCAAGCAATCAGCCAAGGAAGGGACAGGCAATATTTTTGAGTATCGCCAGATATGAAAAGTGTGAAATTTAGAGTATTTTGTGAGTCTTTCACAAAATGTTGGTAGAAGATTGCCCATTCACAGAATGTTTCTACTCTGGAAATTAATTCATGAGAAACTGGTGAAGTCACTCCCTGCTACGCCTTCCAGTTCTCCAAGTGGTGGTTGCTGATGATGGTGATTTTAAAAATGCTCCCTAATCCTCCTTTGGGGAGGTAAATTGACATATTTCTAAAGAAAGACTTGCCATGTTTCTTTTCAAAGAATGCCTGTGGGGCCCAGAGGTATTTCCATAAATCAGGATGACACTAGAAGCTTGGCTTTGCAGAATGCCTGCTTCTTATTTAGTCATTTATTTGGTAATTAAGGAACCTTAAAAAAATAATGCCTAGCAGGGTAAGGAATCTTGCAAGCACCAAGAAAAAGATGCTGCGGGCATTACTGGGTAAGCTAATTGGTTGACAGTTTGAGGGCACCTGACATGCTGATTTGTGGAAATTAAACTGTTTTGGCTAAAGCGTTTGTTAAAATCATACGATCTCCTATTTGCTTTAGTGTGGCATTTTCAATCTGTATTTGGGAATGTAACAAAATAATTATACGTTATAAATTTACCAGACATTTGGCAAAAGGAGGACATGTCCTCCTTTTTGTTCTCATGTCCTCTGTCCAGCAGGCATAGTCTTAAAATCAAACGCTGTCAGTCTTTTCAAGTATCTCTTACTATGCAGCTTTTCTCCCTGGTGCAGTGCTTTCCTAATGTGCTAACTGAAAGTTAACAAGCTTCATTCTGTGACCTTAATTAGTTGATTAGAGCCCTCCTGACAAAGCCTTACTCAGTTACACACTGAAGGCCTTTGCCTCCTAACTGGCTCTAGCACATTCCTGCAATTGAAAAACCAGTCTTTCTGATGCTGGAAAAAGTAATTGTACATTTATATAGACGTCAATATATTCTTCTTCTGCAGGATTTCCCTGGCATTTTTGTTGCAGAAAGTTAAACAATTAATGTCCCCCTTTCCAGCCCCCACCATTTATCCTCCTTTCTAATTGTTGTTTACCTGTTCTGATATCTGGTAGCTTTAAGTCCAAGGGCTACTAGAGTTCAAAAGGATAATGTGATAGATTCTGAGACTGATCATTTCATTATAAAGTTTTCAATGTTTCTCTCATTTAAACACTCACTTATAGATGCAGTACAGGCAGTCCTCGCTTAATGACTGCAATTGGGACTGGCAACTCCATTCCTAAGTGATGTGGCCATTAAGAAAAATGTCATATGACCATGACAGACTTACAACCTCACTTTTGGTGTGATTGTTAAGCGAGACCACAGGTCAGGTGACCACAATTTTGCAATTTTACTGCCCGCTTCTCCATTGACTCTGTTTACCAGAAGCCGGTTATAAAACATGCAAATAATTACCTTGTGGTCGCAAGGACTGCAATGATTGAAAAATGTGAGGATCAGTCATAAAGTTACTTTTTCAGGGCTGTTATTAAACAGGGCAGTCATTAAACAAGGACTACTGGTTGTGCATGGAGAAAGTTAAAACTACAATACTTTTTGTTAACAGCTTCCTACGTGAAAGGAAGTTTTGTGTCTAAAGACCATCACTCTACCTGCCCGCCTATAAAAAGGATTTTATCGTTTGACTTTATTGAATGAATACATTTCTAATGTGGTCTGAATCTGAGTATTATATGTCAGTGTTAGTGGAAGAAACTATTTCTAGCTTTAATTTTTTTTTCAGAAAAGCATAAAAAGAGTTCTGTTGGATGACCCTAAAAGTTTTTTTACACTGTTTTCCAGAAAAGTGCTCTACTAAGGATAAAAGCCATGCTCATGTTCAGAACCTAATCAGAGCCAGGTTACCTCTGATTTCAAAGATACAGATATAGATTAACAGAGCTGGAAGGGACCTTATAGGTCATCGAGGCCAACCCCCCCCCCCCCCCCAGGCGACCTTTTTGGTAGATGGCAGTTCAGTCTCCTCTTGAAAGCTTCCAGTGATGAAGCTCCCACAACTTCTGAAGGCAAGCTGTCCCATTGGTTGATAGCTCTCACTGTCAGAAAATTACTTCTTATTTCTAGATTGAATCTCTCCTTGTTCAGTTTCCATCCATTATTCCTTGTCTAGCCTTCAGGTGCTTTGGAAAATAGCTTGATCCTTCCTCTCTGTGGCAGCCCCTCAAATATTGGAACACTGCTATCATGTCTCCCTTGGTCCTTCTCTTCACTAGATTAGCCATCCCCAGTTCCTGCAACTGTTCATTGTATGTTTTAGCCTCCAGTCCAGTCCCCTAATCATCTTGGTTGCTCTTCTCTGCACTCTTCCTAGAGTCTCAACATCTTTTTTATAATATGGTGACCAAAACTGGATGCAGTATTCTAGGTGTGGTCTTACTAAGGCTTTGCAGAGTGGTACCTCACTTGATCTTGATTGTATCCCTCTGTTAATACAATTTAGGATTACATTGGCTTTTTTGGCTGCCACTGCTGCACACTGTTGGCTCATATTTTGGCCCCAAAAGCTTCCTTACTGTGTTTTCCACAGAGATGCTCTACTAAAACTCTCAAGCCAAGCATAAAAACCATGTTCATGTTCAGAGCCTATTCAGAGCCAGGTTGCCCCTGATTTCAGTCACAATTAAAGTTAGCATTTCTGAAAATGAAACTTAGACTTGTACCATAACACTGCATGAGAAACATAGGAGATGCTGAAATGTGAACAATTAAGAAGCACCCCTTTATTATTTTTAAAATGAGTGAAGGTTTTGGTACTTTTTTATCATGTATTTTGGACTTGAGGTTTCTGTGGTGTGGAATATTTGTAATAATCTTTTAATGACAGGTAATTAAAGCCTGAGCCATTTTATTCCTGTGCCCTGTTTTTTAGATTTAATTTGCTACAAGACTCATAAGGTCTGTTGATTCAGGGTATATAAATGATGTAAATAAATAAACATGCGGCTAAGCAGGATGTAAAAAATGCAACCTACCTTCCACCCTCTTGTACTAAGTAGAGTGAAGGGTAATATTATATGTAAATTATGCGGATACAATTCTTAATTGTCTTTTTATAGAAGCCTGAGATCACCTGAGATTTTAATGGCTTTGTTCCATGTAACATTTCCCAGACAATCTGTTGATTTTGGTTATAAAATTACCCTAGAGAGGCGCTTGGGTACGTACTTAAGCAAGAAGCATTCCTTTATATCTTGAAGGATCTCTTCTTACATCATGAGCTATCTACACAAAGTTAAAAAGAAAAAGCATCTACTAACCAGGAAACATTAAGAGAAATATACCTATAAAGGGCAGACATTTACAAGGTGTGGTTGTCTCAGTTGTTGATTAGAAGTACATAATGGAATTTCTTGTTGGCAGATCTCAGTTTGGCAGATCTCGCAATGTTCTCTGGCTAAAAAAGGAGAAAAAATAGTGTCTGGCATAGTTCCAAGCTCCATGGTGATAATTTCTTTCCCCACCCTAGAGAAATCTTCCCCCTTAAGGGAGTTGATTAAAATTTCTGAAGTATAGCCACGCTATAAGCCCCAAGCATTGACATATGGAATGCGTTTGCATTTCTTCTAGATCTTTTGAGTACAGATAGCCCTCAAATTACGACCACAATTGAGTTCAACATTTCTGTTGCTAAGCGAGACAGTTGTTAAATAAATTTTGCTCTATTTTATGAACTTTCTTGCCACCGTTGTTAAGTGAATCACTGCTGTTGTTAAATTAATAACTCAGTTGTTAAGGGAGTTTGGCTATCTCAGGAGCTCCTGATTTCTTTGCTGCTGGAAGAGGACTATTAGAAAAAAAACCTCTTTTGAGAAAAAGAAAGCTGAGACCACATGCAGCAAGTCTACAAGTGATGTTAGAAGGAACAGCTTTTTTTCTCTACTGCTTAGCTGCCAATTTTAAGTCAATCAAAACACACACATTCTTCATATATTCATTTTTGTATGCACAAAGTATTCTTGGTGTAGAAATGTTTTATAGAGCAACAGTGAAGACAAAGATTCCTCTCTTAAATCTTCAATTCAAAGTTTATCCAAGGCGAAAATTATAAAGCAAGATAAGGAAGGTGGAGCAAAAGTACACCAAGAGAAAAGAAGAATGCAGTTTGTTTGCTCACATCAATGAGTTTCTATAGGGAAGGAGGTCTTAAGGGGGTAAGTCAAATGCCTCCCAAATACTGGAATTTTGAGGAGATGTTTGAAGTAGCAGGGAGAGGTATGTAAGTATCCTGGAAGGTGCTCCAATTGCGGTCCAGTACCACTTTCTCTACCCTACAAAAGGAAGTAAATACATAGATGCAAAGATTGGGACAAGAGTGGCTTGCATGCATTGATATCAAATCTCTCTCTCCACACACACACACATGCGCACACACACACTCACACACACTTTTATTTAAAAGGACAAATCAGCCATTGCTTGCAGCAAAATTGCTAGCTAGTTTACTTGTTAGGTACCTTAAATGCAATATTTCAAAGGTAACATCCAGTTTTTAATATGAAATTTCATTTTAAAGTTAATATTGCATATTGTTTTGATTCTGTTAAAACAATGTTTGCATGTCACATACCCCACAATTGTGTTTGGATGATGTCCTAAAGCCATAAAACCAAATCTCAGCGTAGTATGTTGTGTAAAGGTACTCCCCCTCCCCCAAAGAGTTCCCAGATGGTGAGGTGTGCCTTTTACACTTACAAATAACAAAATGTTTTAGTACAAATTTCAAAAAAAAAAAAATTTTGCTGGTAACTTGCACTATTTATATATTTATTTCGCACCTTTATTATTTTGAGAAATAATTCAATATGGCAAACATACTGTACCTAATATATGCCTTCCTCCTCCTATTTCCCCATAACAGCAACCCTGCAAAGTTGGTTGGGTTGAGAAAGAGTGATTGGGCCAAGGTCAGCCATGCAGCTTTCATGCCTCAGGACGAACTACATCTCATAGCCTCCTGGTTTCCAGACCAACACATTAACCGTAAGAGATATGATGAAATATCCTACAGGGATATGCCATCCATCCAGCTTTTTTTATGGTAATACGATATCTGAGAGCGTTTCACATCGCCATACAGATTCTAAGCACAGCTGTATGAATCAATTATCTATTGCTACAGATCAAACTTGAAATAAAAAATATCCCCGCTATTTGGTGAATAGTCAGACTATTTGTGCTGAATATTTGCAACAAAGCTATCAATGGGAGAAGGAGAAATTCATTTCATTACAATGAAGTCAAGGCCAAATAGTAGAGTTTCTGCACTTTACGGATAATAGCTGAAAAATTGATGATTGGCTTTTTTCTGCCCAAAGCTTTGTACTGAAACATCTATAAACTCCTTCTCACAGAAATGGATATGTGGACAAAAGCTCACAAAGGAGTACATAAATATAGAAACTTATTCCAATAAATAGTAAATGTCTGCACACTTTAACTACGCTTGCTGTGGGGAAATCTAATCTGGCTTTTACTTTTTTTGATCTGCAGGCAGTCACTGATTTTTAAAGTTACTCATACATGCATAGTTTGTGGTCCAAAATTGCTATTCCCCCCTCCCCTGAAACCACACAACTTTTATGGTGGGGAAATCACTGAAGCTAATTAAATTCACATCCAACTCTTCACTGTCACATAGCTTATTGAGGGACAATGAAGTGACAGTGTCCGTCTCTCACTCTGGTTCAGGAAGATGTGGTTGTTCTGAGGAAACAGTGAGGGGTTGTGGGGGGTTTCAAATTTTTTTATTACCGGTTCTGTGGGTGTGGCTTTGTGGGTGTGGCATGGCTTGGTGGCGGTGGCGGGGGAAGGATACTGTAAAATCTCCATTCCCACCCCACTCCAGGGAAAGGTTACTGCAAAATCCCCATTTCTTTCCGATCAGCTGGGACTCGGGAGGCAGAGAATGGGGGCAGGGCCAGTCAGAGGTGGTATTTACTGGTTCTCTGAACTACTCAAAATTTCTGCTACTGGTTCTCCAGAACTAGCCAGAAGCTGCTGAATACCACCTCTTGGGGGGGGGGCAATGAGTGCGGTAAACACTGGAACTGTCTCTTAACTGTGTTAAAGGAAAGATGGGCTACAAATACAAACACTGCTGCTATTACTATTCATAACTCAAAACTATTCATAAGTTTGGTCTACTGGTTAAGGCAGCAGGATAGAAGCCAGGAGACTATGAGTTCTAGTTCCACCTTAGGCATGAAAACTGGATGGGTGACTTTAGGGCCAGTCACACTCTCTCAGCCTAACCACCTCTCAAGATTGCTGTTGTGGAGAAAATAGGAGGAAGAAACATATTAGGTATGTTTGCCATCTTGAGTTATTTCTGAAAATAATAAATATGGGAAATGAATATATAAGTAGTGCATCATAGGCTACCAAAAGGGTATACAGTTAGAAATTTGTTAACTTTAAAAATGCAAACAGATTTTGTTGTTTTTAGTGTAAAAAGGCAAACATACCTCACCATCTGAGAACTGTTTGAGGGAGGGGGATATGATTACACAACATATTACACTGAGATTTGGTTTTATGGCTTCAGGACATCATCCAAACACAGCCATGGGCCATTATGATGGGCACAGAACTGTTTCCTTTATTTCATCCAGTCTTCTTATACCCAGAATGTTCCATTTAGCTGTATTTTCCAAGGAAACATGAAATTCTTGGAAAGTTTCTCAGAAACCCCCCAATAAAACCTTAACTACTTTGAAAGATTCTGCCTTTAGTGATGCTCCCTGCTTGTCCCAGAGAAATATTGGGTCATGAAGAACACATGAAGCTGCCTTGCACTGAGTGAGACCATTGCTCAGTATTCCCTGTTGTATATTGTGACTTACCAGTATCCCAGCCAGAAACCTTTCCAAGAAGTATAATTTTTGATTACAGATACTGAAATAGACAATCTTCTTTGGACAAAGCAATAGCTGTATCATCAATTCATCCAATAAAAAATATTGAGGAGGAGGTGGGGAAGGATAATAGAGGACATATAAAGCCCTTCCTACTGTATATACTTATGGATAAGCGTATCCACAGGTAACCTGAACCCAATTTTGGGGATTTATTTTGGAACCTAAAATTCTTGGCTTATCTATGAATATTTTTGATAATGAATAGTTTTGAAAGTACTTTATGGTGACTCAAATTGTTGGTTCATCTAGTACCTTTGCATTTACTTCAGTTAGCAGGGTTCTCCAGTGGTGTTTCCAATTAGTGATTATTTGATACTTTTAAGATACCATGGATTGATGAGACCTTAGATGGCTTAGTACTCACTCTAGGATTGCCTCCTCAACACTGGTGCCCTTCAGTTATGTTAGAATTATAAGAATGTCTAAGTTCCAAGACACAGGTGAGCACAAAAAGAGAGCCTTGAAACATTCTTCAAAAGTTTTTGCAAGTATGCATGGCTGAATAGTAAACAAATCTAAGAATAAAAGATTCTTCACAGGGAGAACAACTAGCATCCTATAAAAGAGATCAGGGGCTGCCATTAGAATACAGACTCAATTTTGTTGTTTGTACTACTACATCTTGTCATAAAACTTATTCATGTTTTCAGCTCACCATTTGGATACAGGAACGGGATGATTGAGAATAGGCAACAAGGTTCTCTCACATCCACAGTGGACACAGACCATATTGTGAAAAAACAGAGTAACTCTCCCTTTTCAAAATATCATTTAGCTAGAGAATCTTTACTTTTATGAATGCATACAAGTGCATGTGTGTACACGTGTATTAAAGACAAGATGTTTGCACCATCCTCATCAACAAAAAAAAGCTTTGATTTAGTACTGCTATCCAAATACTATAGTCAACCAATTATTATTTTTATAATTGACTAACTTTGATTAATCGTGCAACACATTTTTAAAAAGAAGTACAATAGAGACAAAGCAAGCAAAATCTGATCATATTGCCATTGGGCCAGTTTACGTCATATAGGTGTTACCAGAAAACCTCTGATTCACTTCATTTCATTTTTCTGTTTTCTTTCTTGTCCATCAGGGGAGGACAAGAGGAGGGAGGTTTAAAATCAGTCCAATTTTCTATTATGCTGAGATTACAATCATCTGTTGCTATTGAAGTTCCTTTCATGAGCTATTCTTGTTTTGTTTTTTTTTAAACAGGAAGTAAATGCAAACAAGTGGAGATAGCTGGGGAGTCCTTCTCCCATGTAATAAAAAAAATGCAAAGGGATGAGAACTTAAATATTTCAAGAAAAGCCTTTACAAAATGAGGTGAAATCTATCTAATAAAATGGTGAGTTTACACCAGGGATGGAACTGTCCTTAAATGTTTCTTACTATCCCATTCAACCATTTAATATGCATAATGTATATCAAAGCCCTCACTGTCTTAATAATAATCACTTGTCACACACCTGCAGCTACAGGTTTGTTATTCCAGAGTTGTTCCTGGATTTCATGATAGGAGCATAGACTCGAGAAGCTTTCAGGAGATGCTTTTATTTGCCGTTTCACAATAAACATTTCTGTTGGAGATTCCTCTTATGTTTTTCACCATCTCCTTTCAATTTTGATTTGCACACACACACACCAACAATGTACTTCACAGAGCAATTGTAGAAATAAAGTGAAGGAAGAGTCCCCATTCACGCCATCTTGGACTCTTGAAATAAAGGTGGGGTATAAATGCAAAGAAAGGGAGAGAGAAAGACAGACAGAGAAGAGCTACAGAACCATCCATAGAGATACCTATGAAAGATATTTCAGTAAGTCGAACTATGGGTCTCTCATATAATAACATTTGTGGCTCAAGGAATGAAGAGCCCACCCCACCCCCTGTCCCCAGTGAAATCAGCCTGACATCCGATTAAAAGCATCTCTTTTTCCCAAAGGACACTCCTCAATTCAAATACCCTAGAACTGAATTGTATTTCATCTTATCTCATTTTCCATTGTCCTTTTAATGTAATTTACCGTCTTTATAATAGCACTCAGTTTTCAATCTAAAAAACAAATCTTAGTGCACCATACACTCTTTAAAGCTTTTTGGGGGACTCAAGCTATTGTGCTTCTCACAAATATCCTTTGCCCCTACCTTATTTTCTGGGCAATGATGAATGTTTCTATTTAATAAAAGGTGTTTTCAGCATTTTCTCCCTTTAATATTGTTTGCATTCCATTTTCAGCAATTTATTATTGTTGCTCATATATTTTTATTTTTGGTTTCACACTTTCCAAAGAATGTTATTTACTGGTAAACTAATAATATGAAAACTAATATGTTATTTACTGGAAAACTAATAATATAACACAAAGATAGATACAGACAGGAGAAAAGAAACCCTGTCTAAGATAGAGAGCTCTCCACCCTAATTTGTGGAAATGCAATGTGTGCTATTCAGTGGAACTTTTAGAGCTTTCCTTAAAATTACAGCTTTGCTATAATAAAACATGGTGATTTGCCCACCTCAACATGATGCAGAAATGCCAAAATCACCACCTGGAAAGAAGAACTGGGAGTATCCATGACTGTGTGTATGAATACTCTTAGACTCAATGCTAGCAGCTTTCATAGAAAGCTCTTGATTTGCCACTTTCTTTGTGAGTGGGTGAATGGGATAAAAATAAAGGGAACTCACCAGGTTTTCTGGGGCAGGGAGGGTTTTCCCCATTAAAATCTGAGAGCCATGTCTTCATATTTTGGTCTGCATCTTGTTCTTTTTCCAACATGAATCTCTGCCCAGCTGCAGCTGTGGTCCTATTTTACCTCCTTGTCTTCCTCTCCACCTTCACAATCTGTGTCTGCCTCAGCTTTGAAAAATGTGTGTGCATTTTTTTTTCAAAGGGACTTCTCTCTCCCCCTTCATGTGTGTATATGTGATTGCGTCAAGCTGGTTGCTTAGATACCACAGTACTATTCCAGTTTCAGGCTTTTCACTCTAGAATTACTGTCTGTCTCTTCTCTCATTCATGCCAGTCAGTTAGCCCTGGATGCTACCTCCCACTAAGACATCACCCTGAAAAGACCTGAAAAAGAAGATGCTTCGAGCAAGGCTGGGTCCTAAACCCTGCCAGATTTCATTTTGCTTCCCACAAATGAACTTTAAGGTATCAAAGGCAGAGAAAGTTCTCCCTGGACAGTCTGCATACTCCAACACTATTTGAATAAATACAGTAGACTTTGTCACATTTGAATTTCCACGTCAAAGTGTAGTTCAGCTCTTCCCCAGCCATATGCAAGAGTTATTTGGTTTCTGGATGCTATAGTTACATTCATTTAATCTGCAATACCACAGCTGATTTTTTAACAGTGTTAAACCTGGGATAGTATTTGCACTTTGGGTTAGAGATATGCTAAAAAAATATGTGCAAATGTTCCCAACAAGCTAACATATAGGTTATCAGTCACATTTTGCATGAAAGGATAGGCAGTTCACTAACTGGCATTTAATGTATGGAGTATTTCAGATGAGGTAGCACCTCTGGTTTAGGGCCTGCAGTGCCCTTTTAAGGGCTGTTTGTTTGCTTTTCATCCTCACCTGGCACTCAGCAATCACCTGTAGCTCCAAATAACTGTAACATGTACAGCAGCCACAACCCAGTAAATCATCTCGGCAGATGGGCTAAACCAGGTAGGTAGCTGATGGGTCTTTCATCTGTGGTGAGGTCTCAGTGTGTGAAGTCAGGCCCTGACAGATTGAGTGGAGAAGATTGATCAACAGTCTAACAGTCAAGAAAGCAAGCCCAGCAGGCATGGTGGCGCCTGCTTTGAGATTTTTATTTCTTAGTCTTCTTTCTAGAACATCATAGAACAAGTTCCCTGCATGAGAGTCCTTTTGTAATGTTCTTGTTAATCTTCTCTTGTTTGGGCTGAAACCTAGTAATGTAACCCAAAAGATGCTACTAAAGCAATGCTTTATCAAAAAGACAAAATGGGGGAAATTAGAGAGAGTAATTTACCAAAATTTACCAAGTAATTTACCAAGGGAGGTAATTATTATTCCTGGAATCTATAATGTCTATAACTGAACATTTAAAAGTAACTCTCATAACAACCGGCACCATCAGTTCCTACAATCATTAAACCACATGGTCTATGTCAACAGAACCCATATGCCTATCCCTTAGCATCTCCAGGTAGCAGATACTGACAAAAAACTGACACCACCAAGAGCGGAATGGGACTTTTCAGCTTGAATTCTTGCCTGTTTCGCCTCAAGGTTTTCGCCTCTGGGTTATTAGCCACAAACTTTTCTCCTTGGCTGGCCCTCTGCCAGTCTTTTGCCACAGCACAACGGCCATGGCCACTTCCTCCCAGGCACTTTGCCGCAGCCCAAACACAGAAGGAGGTTTTGACCTAGGTTTTTCGACACCTGAGATAGTTAGGGCCCAACAAATCAGCTAGAGGGGAAAGGAAGGAAGGAACAGCCTCAGTGAAATGGGAAGGAGAAGAGGGAGAAGGAGGGTGGGGGGGACTTCCACCTCTGCCTTTTTTTGTTGTCTAAGTTTTTACAGAGTTACCTCGTATGAAAACCAAGACTATCTGGATGAACCCATTTTTGAATCTAGCTGAGCTATGACAGACTGACTAGTTTTGTAAATCTTCCTGAATCGGGAATCAGTTCATGGTCTTTGGGCTATGTTGACAATAAATCTTTTGCATGTCAAACAGTCTAAACAAATTGCAGGAAATAAGCTGGGTCTATTTAATTTGCATACTTTGCTGATACATGGGAGGGATTTCTTCTATTTTGATGCTATATTTTTGTGAGAGCATAACATTCATGAAACATAAAAGATGCTCTTCAGCAATTTATTTAGGAGTGACTTGACATGATTGGATGGCATTTAACATGGGAATTTAATGGGTAAGAAGCATTTCAATCTGTCAGGATGTTCCATTTCTGACCTTTAGGTTGCTCCGGTTAGACAACTTTTAAAAAGCAAGTAAAGTAGGAGGTTGAAGGATTGGAATTTAAGAACGCCAACTGAGTTTCTCACGCTCCTTGAAAAGGGGGCAAGCAAGCATGTTCTCTAGTGGAGAGCATGACTGCCTTCCACTGGACAAGTGTAGATGTTTACTGCTTCATCTGTGACTTTGGGGCCTGGAGGATAATATCAGGAGATGCCTGTTCTTCTACTGATATGATATACCCTCACAATGTACAAAACTCTCAAGATAGCCTTTTGCTGTGTGCCACAAAATAGAGTTAGCCTCCTGGCAGACTCAGTTGGCAAAGAACCAGGTAAAAGCATGTGAGATAGGAACAATTAGCAACCCAGCTGTAGGTAAGTATTCACCCAGAGGCTGAGTGAATTCACTTCAAATCAACCCTCTGACTTACTTTGTGCCTGAAAATCATCAGTGGGAGTTCCTTTGCTAGAAATATAGAAGGAAGAGAAAGGTGACATCCTACTTAAGAACATTCTCAGCTGGTGCTGATGTTACTATAGCTTAATAATAACAATAACAAAGTTGGGAGGGACCTTGGAGGTCATCTAGTCCAACCCCCTACTCATGCAGGAGACCTAGACTAGGGTAGTATAGGTCTCCTGCATGAGTAGGAGGGATTCAAACTGCCAAACTGCCAACCTTTCTGATCGTCAAGCTCAGCATCTTAGCCACTGAGCCACCTAGCCAGGCTAGGTTATCAATTTTGGCAACTTGAAGATATGTGGACTTCAGATCTTAGAATTTCCAACCATCATGTTAGCTGGGGGATTCTGGGAATTCACACATCTAAAATTGCTGAGATTGAGAATTATAATTTAAACCATGACACTGATCTCTGATTTCATTTTTATTGTTCATTGTTCTTGTTGATGACTTTTGTGGACTTTTTGTTTGCTTGCTAATTTTGTGTTATGTTAGAGATTTTTCAACAAAAAAGAAAAGCAGGATATAATCCAAAGAAATAAACACCCACTCACCCCCTGTCCTGGAAAAGAAGTGAGTGGTGGACTATTCACATAAGAAAAATTGACCTGTGTTGCGAAGGTTGAGTTAGACTTCACTCTGTATTGATTTGATTAAGAAGATACAAACCCATATTCCAGATAAATCTTTCATGGAGTACTAAATTCCTCCATTCTTTATTGGTTTGCTAAGAAAGTATGGCTTTAAGTTGAGGGCTTTTCGCTATGTGGATTCCAGCATACTGTACTTGTTAGGAAATTCTGGGATTTGAAGTCCACATATCTTGACTGGAAAATTCTGAGAGCTGAAGCGCACACATTTCACGCTACCAAGGTTGAGAAACATTGCTGTAGTGTGATCTACTGTTTTTATTACAGTAGATGTTGTTTATGTTTTTATGCCTTGCACTTGTCACATACCTTACGGTGTTTCTCCCTTTGCATGCCATCCTGTTTTCTGTTAACATAGTGGTTTAAAAAAACACTTGAATGGGTAATTAATTTAACTCTTGGGTCTTAGATGAGGAAGGGGAAGAAAAGAACAATGATCAGCATTTCATTCCTCTAACCAATGGCAGCCACAAACAATGTAGCCAACCTGACCAGGGATAGCCTGATAAACCCAACAGAAAAAAGGACAGAACCAGTTCAGCAGTGCCAATCCCCACCCACCCACCCAACCCCAACCTGGCCAAAGAGACCAGAGCAGTACAATAATCTCAACTCAGCAGCAGCCAACTGTACCAACCAAGGCTTACAGTTTCTGCAGTATCATTATCAAGCCAGCAGTGACGGTGACAGAAAGGAGCCCTGTAGAAACAGAAACGCTCAGAACAGCCCAGCAGGAAGGAAAAAGAAAGGTTGGTTTGGAAGCACCTGGGATTAGGGCAGAGAAGGAAAGAATTGCTTTCCTCCCTGCTTCCAAAGGTTGGAGTGTGCAAGCAAGGGACTGGTACGTTCCTCTTCATTGCCAGTGTTACTGGACTTATTTGACTTCTGACATTGCTGGGTTTCCACAGCTGGGAATCAGGGATTGTTGGGCTGTTACAGTTATCCCTTTTTCCTCCTTCAATTCTTTTCTGTGCATCCCTTCTTTTATCCATGCTGCTTTCCTGCAGCCTTTCCTCGCAGTCCTTCCTGTGTGCTCCCTTTTCTCACACATCCCTCTCTCCAGCACTTTCTCAGGTTACCTGGACGCTTTTCCATTGATGTTCCATGTCATCATCATCCGAGTGTACATGGTTAGGGCAGCAGAACCGAGAACAAGGACAAAAAGAAGTGGTGCCCTAGAAGACAATAAAATAAAATTTTCTTTGAAATGGAGAAGTAGTATGGGCATTTTTCCAATTGTATTCCTTTCCTTCTGCAGGCACACTTAGTCTGATTCCTTTTATATGGAGCTGCTTTTGAAAACTATTTGAAAATAACAGCTGCTGCTTCAAAAAGTTATTGTCATGCTGTTGACAGATGGATTTATTTAGAACACATGACTCCCTTGTTATTCAGTCTATATCCATTCTCATTCTGTAAGTCCGCCCTACTTCCCTAATTGTGGTAACTTTCAAATTTTTTTGACTCCATCCCCTAACATTTCCTGGGAGTGTCCAAGAAAAAGAAGAGTTGTAGTCTAGCATATCAGGATGAGAGCAATGGGGCAAGGTTGATATAAAAAGATTGGGGCATAATGTTCAGTTGGAATATCCAACCGTTAAGACTTTGTTAGACATTTTATTACAAAATGGAATTTACTTCTCTCATTTTTTGAGGGCAAAGTATACATTCCTTATGGGTGAAGCTTCTTTTGTTTGTCTATTTATTATATTTTACCACAATGTAATTTATTTCATAAAGGCAGGGACTCAGATAAAAATGATTTCTTGGATGCTATCCCTGAAGAAAAAATTAATTGCTATTAGGGGAACTGAACAAAAAGGTAAATAAATAGATTTTTTAAAAAAAATAGAATTTGGCCTGTAAACATAAAAACAGCTCATTCTAGTCCTCTCGGGTTTCTTCCTGAGGACATTTTATTTTCCATTGAAGTAGCCACAAGTCTAAGATTAGCTCAAAATATGTTATTTAGTTGATTTGCTGGTCTTAAGGCTTTAGACAGCAACAACCCTGTCCCACTTTGTTATTCTGATGGTGTTGGCAGGAAACCACTAACAGAAGTCAACTGACAAAGCGGAGTTACGTTATTAGAGCATTTCTCTACTTGCGTGCATTCTTATCAAGCAGACCATTAAAAAAAGACCTGGTTTGTTTTTGCTTTTAGCAATTCTGGAGGATTTCTGGAATTTCATGAGAAATGTTTTGAGCCACACACAAGGAACTCTAAGGTGAGAAACCGAATTAAATATTAACCAATTGGAACTGTATTGAGGGCATTGAATGTAATCCATAGAACTGAACAGAAGAGTCATTGCAGCTCTTGATTTAGTGTTCAGAAAGCTGCCCAGGGGCTAAGCATAAGCCATTCACTTAAACTTAATTTCCCATCTGTAAAGTGGGAATAGTTTTAACAGATGTTAACTATAACTAAGAGAAAATATAATTTTGAACAGCCAATTTATCCAAATTTATATTCACTGCTCTTCTTGTTGAACATGATTTAGCATTCTCAATTTTCATCCATTTTCTCTTTCTTTTGGTATTTTGTAAGTATGCGGTCATGTGAAAGATTGTCTTAAATGTATATTAGAGACTGCTAATTTTATGAAAATATTCAGGATAAATGTGTATATAATGTTGAATAATATATAGTCTCCATGTAATAACGGATGAATGATTATTCCTCAAAATTGTTGGCAGTCACAGGCAGATTTGGTGATTATCATGAATCCCAGCCACTTATTTTAAATTTGCTGCTTTGCAGAGTGAGAAAGGTGGCATATAAATTTAATAAATAAGTAAATAAATAAATTTGAAAATGGTCACACAAATATGATTGCCAGCAACTGCTTATATACAAAGGCGCACCCTCACAAGTTTTTCTTTAAATGTAAAATTTCTCTGGCATTTTGGTCTGAATCCAAAAATTCATCAAATTTTGGATATTTTCCTTGATCTTTATTAAATTCAATATTGCATTATTCACAGCAGAACAAAATGAAATGAAAAGACTACATATAGTGGATGGTTCTGTAGAACTTAAACTTGCCTAACAAAAATGAAATTAATGACATATTTAAATTTTCATTGGTGATTTAAACATTTAAGTTTAAAATATACTTATCTGAATTTTATTTGTGGGTAATTTGTGATATTTTAAAGTCTTGGGGTTAAATTTGTCAATATTAAACTTTATGGGATGCTTGCTATGATGATATGATATGACAGACAATATACTGAATAACATTTACCATTTTTATTGTTCTTGTATTGAGAACTCCATTAATCTGTTATCAAAAAAAATTACTGAAGTTGCAGACATTTTGCACTGAATGCTGAAGAAATGATACTCTTTTGTTCATTGGATGTCTTAAAAATACAGGGAGAGAAGGGCTACAGAATTAAGAGCAGAATTTAGTCCATTTCTGTAGGAGGGCTGTGGCTGGTTAATTTTTATTCCTGGGTGACTAGAGAAATTTTCAGACATTCACCCTTCTCAATTCACCTGAGTGTTGAACCACATCATTTCCCTTTTTCCAGATCCTTGAAAATTGCTAAAATAAATATCAGCGCCAAAGTGATGATCCTATCTAAGTATTTATCCATAATTAAGTCCCTATGAATGGATTGGGCTTGATTACATTTGTGAGGCATTTATTGTTGATCTTTTAGGTCTGTTGAGTTTGCACAAGATGCTTTTTTGTTTTTGCTTGAAGGATAAATAATAGATGCATCCATTTTCCTTTATAAATTTTCTGAACAGTGATGGGTCAATCCAAAGTGGAGATAACAATTGAATAGAATATCAACAGCTGTTGATAGCCAGCAGTGACTGTGATAGGGTAGTGCCAGACCAGCTAAGGGGAGGAATCATACTGAATGCTCTTGGACTCAGTCCTGAGGTAATGCTGCTGGTTAGGAAAAGAAAATGAATTTGCTAAATTCATATCTCCACAAAAACTACTTTCCCACTCTCACATCAGTTCATGAATCAAATCTTGGCACCTTTTTTTGAAAATTGGACTTCAGCTCTGAGATGGTTCCAAATAATGGTTCTTAGACAAAATCTACACACAGTTTTATGAATTACTAGGAAAGTAGCACAAAACAGTGCATTTATCTGAGAAGAAATTATAGCAGAAATATGCATGATCAAAACTGCATATCCAATTTAGTGGACTAGGAGAAATATACATAAAATAATATAAACTCCCCATTGATTTTTGTTTGAGTTTATAAGCAGTGAGAGGAACCTTACATCCAGATAATTTATGGTGGTTAAAATGAGACCATAGAGATATCATAAAGGATATAGTTTTGCAGGCCCAGAAAGAAACGAAATAATATGGAAAAAAATTGATATATTTTTTTTGTCATTTCGCGTTTTGCTTTATCAAAACATTAAAAGAGCCTTGGTGGCGCAGTGGCCTAAGTGCTGTTAAAATAGCACTTAGTTGCCAGCTGCCTACAATTACTGCAAGTTCAAATCTCACCAGCCTCAAGATTGACTCGGCCTTCCATCCTTCCGAGGTAGGTAAAATGAGGACCCGGTTTGTGGGGGCAATAAGCTGACTTTGTATAAAAAAGAACACTGCTTGGGGGGGCCGAAAGCCCTACTAAGCAGGTATATACAAAAGTATGAAGGCTATTGCTTAACGCATTGTAAGCCGCCCTGAGTCTCCGGAGAAGGGCGGCATATAAATCGAACTAATAAATAAATAAATAAAAAATTATAAAACGTTCGTAATATTTTCAATTATTTATAAAATGATAAAGATGTGAAAGAAATGAAAGTTTATAACAATTACCATATAAACTAGCATGGAAGACACATAAAGCCATTTATCTCAAAATAGAGAAAAATTCAATATTTATATTCATGATAAAGATCATGTGATGAAAATAATAAAATCTTAAAATCTGTTAATATTTCAGATGTAAGAAATTAATCTCATGAGAGAACCTTTCCTGGGGCAAAAGTTATAGTGTAAATTGTCCCCTCCATCAATTTTGCCCTTTTGTTAGCTTTTTTTTTTCTTTAAAATTATTTCTTTTTGTATCTGTCTGGTACAGCCAAGTTCAAAATCCTGAATCTCTAATTTTCTTTACCTTAAGAGAATGTTACTGGTTTTGTCTGGTTGTGTGTGTGTGTGTTTGGGTGTGTTACCTTTTTGCCTGCAAGCTTTTCTTAGAGTTCTTCTTCATGTCCCCTAACAATGATGTGAAAAATGCCTTAGTAACCATTCTGATATGACTAGTTTTGCCTTCAGATCATTCTCAACCATCACAGAGAAAACTTATCCTTTGACAATTATAACATAAAGTAGTACTTTCCTTTTTATCCCAACAATTTTTTATTATTATGGATAAAATTTACATGGAGTCGTGTTTCTATGTTTTAAAAGGATATGGCCGATAACAAACTTACCTGAGCAGGAGTCAGCAATAAATCACAGATCTTCAGACAGTTTACAGCCTCTGTTGATTTCACAGTAATTTTCCATTAAGTAAACGAATATTGACTACTCTCAGTTGGATAATATTGGCTCTCAATAATATTGTCTTATTATTCTTAATACTTGACTTGAACATCTAATTGCAGTATGGATCAATTGATGCTTCACAATGAGTGGCACATAATGGAATTTTCAATATTTGAACTTGTTGTCAACATATCATAAAAAGCACAGAATGGAAGAAGAGCTATATTCTAAATTAATTGGTATTTCTTTATTTCTGATCCATGTTTAGTTATTAAACACAATATATATATAATAAATTGTTTTAATTAGTTAGTTTTATTCATATAAATCATTAAATTATTAATTTCAGTTATTAAATTGAATTAATCATTTAAAATTTGTATAATGAACATGAACGGTATCTGGATATTAGTAGGTAATATGTAATGAGCTCGGTCCCATTTCTCTACATTTGATAATTAGCAGCAGAAGAAAAGGGGGAAAAAGAGCAAGATTGGAACATTCACTGTGTTTAAATCTAAAACTCTGACATTTTAGAATCTTTTCTTTCAGCTGAAAAAGAACACATTTGAATACAAACAAATAAGCATGTGTTCAGTGACTAAAACAAGTTTTAAAAGAAGGTAAAGATTTCCCTGTCAGTTGTATCCAGGTCTAACACACGTTTCTCATCTCTGTTTCTTGACTGAGGAAGCCAGCATTGTCTGAAGACAATTTCCGTGTCATGTGGCCAGCATGGCCGTATGTCAAAGATGCACGGAACACCATTACCTTCCCACCGAAGTGGTACCTATTTATCTACTTGCATTTTCATGTTTTCTAACTGCTAGCTGGGCAGGAGCTGGGGCAAGTAACGGGAGCTCACCCCTTTGCATGGAGTTCTGGGTCTCCAACCCAGGCTGTCAGCTCTCCAGCTGACAAACTCAGCACCTTTAAAACAAGTGGTACTCATTAACCTTTTTATTTCATCAGATTTGTGATATGAATCAGTCTGACAATATTTATATTAAAAAGCAGGTTATGAATGGCTATTGTCATATTGTTGCTGTCATTATACCACAGCTCATCTAAGTTCATAACCTTTAACTAGACTGTCCAAAGAAAACTGATACATGAACATCTTCCAGTCATTCCTCAAACTTAGCTAAAGAGCTGCAAACTCAACAGGGTTATTTGGTGCTGCTTTTATGCAGGACTAAAATAGTATTACTAAATTAATAGTGTCTTATCATCTAACCCATGTTTAAAATATTGGGGGACATTCCAATCCTGAAAAATACTCATACCATAAGCATAACCAAAGGCATTCATAAAATGATCCCATTTGAAGTGACATGAAATCACATGTTTAAATGTTTAAAGCCAGTCCTGCTTACATTTATTTCAGAGACAGAATGGGACTATGTGAAAGCAGAAACCTGAGAAGCAGGAAAGAAAGGAATAATTCTCTATATAGACACAAACCTCAGACAGCCAAGAAAAGGAAAGTTCCACCACCTGCACCACCGGTAAGTTTTGATCTTCAAGAAAGAGTAATTTAAGAACTAAAATTCTGCACCCAGGCAAAGCATTCTAGCAATCAGATGGATATGTTTGAGAAGCTGAGTCCAGTTTCCAAAAATAAAAAAATTCTCCATCTGGCTATCAACCTTAATCTCCATCCATCAGCTATGAATTTCACCTCGTTTCCTCTAGAAAGATTTCTCATTATACTTCTCAATTATTCAGCTAACATTTAGCATTCATTTCAGGTATAGTCCCTGCTGGGCTTGATCAAAATTCCATCTAATCCAGCAGTTTGATCATATTAATCAAACAGGTGCCTCCAGGATGCCCTAGAGGCAGGAAAGAAATTAGCCTCTGTCAAATGGTATTCAGAAGCAGCCAAAATTTTAATCCGATCAATTTTTTATTACTATTCCTTCAGTTTCAGTTGGTATCCAAAATACGGTAACTGGACTCACAGTTTCAACATAGTACGCAAAAATCAGGATATCGGTGTCATACTATGATGGTAAAAATGTGAGTCCAGAAAGTTGATTAAAATGTCTGTTATTTCTGAACATCCGTGGAATTAAAGGAAATTGTAGCCAGGAAATCTGAAATGCAAAGATAATATGACCAGATGTCCAGATATACCTATCTTCCCTTTACCACTGGCTAGACAGCTAAGGTTAATGAATTAATTTTAATAATGCTGGTAGTCCTCAACTTATTACAGTTTATTTAGTGGCCATTCTAAGTTACAACAGAACTGAAAAATATGACTTATGACTATTTTTCACATTTACAACTGTTGCATGTTGTATGCAACATGCTCCCTTGATCAAAATTCAGATGCTTGGAAGCTGACTCATATTTATGGCAGTTACAGTATCCTGGGATCATGTGATCACTTTCTGACAAGCAAAGTCAATGAGGAAGCCAGATTCACTTAAGAACCATGTTACTAATTCAGCACCTGCAGCGATTCATTTAGCAAGTGTTGGAAAATTTACTTAACAAATGCTTAGAAATGTGGGCCCCAATTTTGGTTGTAAGTTGAGGTCTACTGGTATCTTCCCATCCTTACATAACTGGTAAGTAATGTAAAAGTTTCTGTTTGAAATGGTTGTTTGCTGATCCTGGCTAAATTTCAGCATACATGTAATATTTCAAGAGGGAAGAAATGGTAATCTTCCAGTTGTTATTAAACATCAACTTCCATCAGCTCCTTCTAACCTGGTCAGAAGTGAGGAATGCTGGAAATTGTAATTCAGTCAACTCCAAAGGGGCCCAGTTTGCTCTCTCCAGATAAACAGATGGCTTCTCCTATTAACTGAAATGAGCAAATTCTCAGCAGGCTGAATTTTGCTCCCAGGACAACATTTGGTAATAGAATTATATACAAATGTATCCTTGACATCCGATTTCAATGCAATTAAGTAATGCTTGGCTTCTCTTTTTAATTTCTTCCAAAGGGCAAGAATTTATCCATCACTTCTGCTGACCAACTTGGTAAAGGTAAAAAGGATTTATGTCTTTGTTTCTGAATATTTATTGTGGATTCTTGCCAGATGATGCTTAATGATGTCAACAACAATTGCACAAATAAAATAACACATAATGACATTTAAATAAAAGAGAGAAATAAGAACAATTTTACTTATTAATATATCTATATCCTTCTACATTTCCCATCTCACTTAAATGATTCTGGGTGGTTTACAATAAAATATAAAAATAAATAAATAAAAAAGGTAAATCAGAGTTAGGAACAAAGTTAAGAACAATGTCTTTGAGTTATGGGTATTTGCTCCAATATGAAAATAATTCCAGAATTTGGCTTCTTATGAAATACACTTTTGAAAAATGGAAAAGTTTAATAAATGGTTTTCTAGAGAAACTGAATATACAACCGACAGACAAGTTAAAAACATCATTAGCAACATGTACTATGGGTTAAGGGAAGAAAGAGTGAACTTCTCATAGGGAAATATGTGAATACTTCTACTTTTGTTTGCAAAATGATGGTGAGCTTAACATCAAAGTTTCCTCCTTCCCCTATTCAATATTTTGGCTTGCAAAATGACCTGATTCTGTCCCTAAATCCAAAACAAGAAATACCCAGCTCTGTTCTCACAGAGCTACGTATATATTGTTCCAGAGACATGTGACTTTGCATTGAAAAGGAGAAGCTTGCAAGGGTTTTTATTTGAAAAGGTCAGACAAAGTGAGATTTAGAAGTATCTGTCTCATGAGTGCCTATATTTAGAAAAATAACTTGTTCACCATCCATTAATTAACCAGCAAGTGCTCAAACTATAAAACCATTTTTTTTCTCCTTTATTGCGGAGCAGGAGTAGGAGGGAAATCAAGTTTAATGGGATCAAGTCTATATTGAACAATTACAACTAAAAAGACAGAATTTATGCTTATGACGATGTGGCTGTCACTGTCTCATCTCATGTGGGGTCATACTTAAGAACATAACTCACTCATTCAAGAGGAGGAAGGATTAGAAAACTGCAATTATATGTTGAAGAGAAGATCAAAAGTCATTATATTTCATACATTTAGTTTCTTTTTTCTTTCTTTTTTCTTTCTTTTTTTCTATTTGTCTCTTACTTTATGTTAAATTCTTAATAAATATAAAGACAACGAATATGACAATAGAAAGCAGAACATAATAATCCCCAACATAGAGAACATTTGGTTGAGGAAGGCAAAAGCATGGAGAGAAGCCACTTTAGCATGCATTAAACTGATTCCATTGTACCTTTTATAACCTGGTATACTGCATCTCAGATTATGATCATTTGCCCAGAATCCTTCAGGCCTTTACTTGTAGCTGCCCCATATGATTGGAATCTCTCTCACATCTTAATTGTTTCTCAGTGTTTTTGTATCTTACTATAGAGATTGGTAGCCTGTAGGCCTCCAACCAGTGGTGGGATTCAAGTAATTTGACAACCGGTTCTCTGCCCTAATGATTTCTTCCAACAACCAGTTTGCCAAACTGCTCAGAAAGTTAACAACCGGTTCTCCTGAAGTGGTGCGAACTGGCTGAATCCCACCACTCCCTCCAACACCCAGCAGTCCCAGCAAGTAAAGTCAATTATGGCAAAGTTGAAGTTTTTGTTTGGAAGGTCATAGGATACCCATTCCTGCCCTGATCTAACTAAATCCAAATATTCTGAAATTACTGACTAGGGATTCCTCCTCAGGGGTGAAATCTACTTACCTTCCTTATCGGTTCAGAAGTACACGCACCTGGTAGTCCTGCTAGAAATACTTTGAAACCTCCTCCCAGAGGGGAGCAACAGAAACAGACCGTAAAGTGGATGTGTTGAGTCTCTAATAATGCTTTGAGCTCTAAGCACATAGCTTTTCTAAGCAGTATCCTGAATAACAGGAAACAGGCTTCCTATAATATTCTCTGCTGTCCTTACCACTCTCTGCATGGACTTTCTCTTTGAGGCACTACAGCCACCAAACCAAACAGTGATGCAGTTTGTTAAAATGCTCTCAATCATGCCTCTTTATAAGATTGCTGACTGGTAATATCTTATTAGCTTGTCTAGAATTAATATTTCATAGCTGTTGCTGGTCCCAGCAAAGAAACACTGTAGGGTAATTACTCCTTTTATTATTATTTTTCTTTTAAATAATTTTGATTGCTTTTAAAATTTATGACAGTAAATTGCTCTGGAAGCAAACAGGAACTAAACCACTACTGGATTTCCTTGGAACTAGCTATATAAGGACTGGTTTCCGGAATGTTATAGCCAAGTGAAAACTATTATTAAAAGACTATACTCTGGCTTTGTCTAATAAGGAATAGGTGAAAGCCCTCCTGATTTAACTGACACTTTGAGCCATTCACCCAGTTCTTATTTATATTTTACTCTAGACCCAATCAGTGTTTCTGTTTGTCTCATGCTATAGGGAAGAAATATGTAATAGCACAATATGATTTCGTCTCTATGAGTGATCGAGATCTGCCTTTGACTGTAGGAGAGAAGTTTGAAGTCTTCTGCAGGTAGGTACACTTATCAGTTTTTGACTGATTTCATCATGCCCCAATATTTCTTTTGTCATCAGTTGCAGAAAAATACTTCTCAGAACAGAAAGAAAACTCCTGTATTATGCTTGCTTTGTTCATCTGCATCTGACCTGGAACATACTCTTGTTTCTTGTCAGATTGTATAAATCTTTCACCTTTTACTAACGATTTCCTTGGAGAGGAACATTTATGAGTCTTTTACTAATTTCTTGAAGCAAGAGCCATGGTGGCACAGTGGTTAAAAAGCAGTATTGCTGCTAATTCTGCTGACTGCCAGCAGTTCGATTCCCACTGGCTCAAGGTTGACTTATTTATTTATTTTATTTATTTGTTTAAATTTCTATACCGCCCTTCTCCAATATAGGACTCAGGGTGGTGAACAGCCAAAGTAAAAACAAGACATACAAAATCTAAAAACTGTTTAAAATAATTAAATATTTTGGCCGTAATTAAAACAATTCCAATTTAAAATCAGTTTAAAATTTAAAATTTCTTAGACTTAGACTTCCATCCTTCTGAGGTCAATAAAATGAGGGCCCAGATTGTTGGGTGGTAATATGATGACTCTATAAACCATTTAGAGAGGGCTGTAAAGCACTGTGAAGTGGTATATAAGTTTAAGTGCTATTGCTATCCTATTTAAAGTGGATTAAAAGAACTTAATTCTTTATTCAATCTATTTTGTTTGTTTGTTTGTTTGTTTGTTTACTATTTTTGTATTTTGTTCACAGTGAAGGGGAGTGGTGGGTAGCAAAATCCCTTACTACTGGAAAGCAGGGCTACATTCCTAGCAATTTCGTTGTCTACATCAACAGCCTGGAAGAAGAAGAGTAAGTCTGAGAAAGCTGGGAAGCTGAGAGATAGAGAGCTCTTTATAATTTTGTGATGCATGCAAAGAATTTATCTCTGATATCTTGTGGAAATTCTAGGTGATATTTAAGCCTGTTTCTTGCCATCATGATCTTTATACAAGCAATTATCATGTCCATGTGTGCATGTTTATATGCATATATGTTTGTGTGTATGCTTCCTCTGTTCACTCTTTTTCCCATTCCTTGGCCAGCAGAGGTCCTTCTGATGAGGTATCCAGACCTAGACCCAGTCCCATCCTCCTTCACTTTCTCAGGAAGTCCCAGCCCCCCCCAAAGATATTGACCTTTTTACTGCTCCCATGAATGCTAAGGGTATGTCGGAAGCAGTGCCCACCATGGAGAGCAGGAGTGGGTGGATGGAGGTGCTAAGAAAGAAGGACTGATCAAGGCAAGAAGCCATATTGTTGGCAGGAGACCCACCAGGTTGGACTGAGGTCAGCTGGTAGGCCTCCACCATCAGGCTGGTCCATTTCCTGGACAGCTTCCTATGGAGTTAGCTAAATTGTTGGGCAAAAAAATGAAATAATTATTATTCAAGTCTTCTTTTAATAAGACACGTATAATTATTTTTTAATTAATGAATATAACCTAATATTTCTTTTTTTTTTTTTTGTTCCCTTACTTAGTAGCTTCATACTGGTTTGTTTCCTTGCAATGAGGACAATGAATATTGTTATGCTCATTGGTTTCATTTGAGTTTTTCCCCAAAGTATACAGTTGACATCACAAAAAACTAGCAGTAGAAAATGATAAGATGAACTGGTCTGTTGGCAAGGAAGAAAATAAACTTTCACCCACAAGTTCTGCATTCTTAATGGCTGATTCAGGAATGTAGTTGACCCTATAAGGGACAGGGACCAATTAACAAAAGCAATCATATGCATATTTACTGTATGCATCTTCACTTAGCTTAATACAGTTTATGCCAGAAAAATGTGTGTGAGCTATACAATTACAGATTTAAAGGACAAACATAGGGAAGCAAAAGTGAAATAAAAATGAAAGCAAAGAGGAAGCTGTTAATTAAAAAAATGTTGAGGAGACATTTAATATATTCCTCTGAACAAATCAGTGCAATTGTCTATTAAGTTTAAACATTTCAATACAAAACATATAAAAATAAATTGTTAAAATTACATAGCATTAAATAACACTTTTGAACTTCTGAATTCACTATAAAACTTAGTGAAAAGCTAGGGGAAAACAATTATAATTTGCAATTTTCTGAATTTCCAGGCTTTTTAAAAAAAATCATTGATCAATATCAGTGTTTTTCACACTTGACATTTTTAAGATGTGTGAATGTCAATTCTCAAAATTCCCCAGCCAAGTTTGAAGTTGCCAAGTCTGGAAAAAACTGTTTTAGTTGGAATCATTATATTAAAAATTTGTTCTTTCTTTTTCAGATGGTTTTTTAAAGGCCTTAACAGAAAAGATGCTGAACGTTTATTAATGATGCCTGGCAACAATATAGGCTCATTTTTGATAAGGGAAAGCGAAAGTGTTGCAGGTAAGTTATAGTTATAGTTATAGTTTATTAAACTTCTGTACTGCCCTTCTCCCGAAGGACTCAGGGCGGTGTACAGCCATATTAAAACAAACATATACTCACAAAATTTAAAAAACAATTTAAAATAAATATATAAATTTGGCCCTTATGTTAAAAGCTACAAACACTCAATTTAAAATTCATTTTCTAAGCCAGCCCGGCCTGTTGGAACAAAAGAGTCTTAAGGGCATGGCAAAAGGTACGTAGGTCGGGGATCATGCGAACCTCCAGGGGCAGTTCATTCCAGAGGGCAGGTGCCCCCACAGAGAAGGCTCTCCCCCTGGGTGTCGCCAGTCGACATTGTTTGGCTGACAGCACCCTGAGGAGTCCCTCTCTGTGGGAGCGTATTGGCCGGTGGGAGGCTATCGGTGGCAGAAGGCGATCTCGTATATACCCAGGTCCTAAGCCATGGAGCGCTTTAAAGGTGGTGACTAGCACCTTGAATCGCACCCGGAAGACCACCGGGAGCCAGTGCAGCTCGCACAGGAGAGGTGTTACATGGGTGCGCCATGTCGCCCCCATAATCACCCGCGCGGCCGCATTCTGGACCAGTTGGAGCCTCCGAGTGCTCTTCAAGGGGAGCCCCATGTAGAGAGCATTACAGTAGTCCAGACGGGACGTGATGAGGGCATGAGTGACTGTGCACAAGGCGTCCCGGTCCAGAAAGGGACAGCAAACCTGATAGAAAGCTCCCCTGGCCACAGCCGTCATATGGTCTTCTAAAGACAGCCGTGCATCCAGGAGAACACCCAAGTTGCGAGCCCTCTCTGAGGGGGTCAAGATCTTGCCCCCAACTTGTAAGAAGTTGTAGAATCATTTTGTATATAAAGGTAAAACTTGCATGAGTTGCCCAGATTAGGGATTACATCATGATAATAAAACAACAAAAATATGTTATTTTTTCATTTGGATCTTCTGTTTAAAGATGATTGGGGAAAGGCAGGTGGCAAGATCATCTGCAGAGCTTTTATGAGAATGATTCTAGTTATCTGAGGGTAAAGTCATTCGGATTTACCCAGAGTTAGAGATTGTGACTGGTCAAATCCTATTGAGATAACTAAACCAAGGCCTTCTGTAATTAGCTGGGTTAAGTTTGAATCTGTCATTCTTGAAGATTTTGACACAGAAACCCAAGCAACTGTTTATTCAATTTTGCTTTTCCCACCAGCCAGCAGATGACATTTGATTTGGTATATACAGTAATAGGACAGAGTCAGTGGTCCCGCCTTTTTTGAAGGTGATGGTACGTCCCTCCTCAAAATGTTGTCACTGAACCCAAGAGTTCTAAATAATTTTCATCCAATCTCCAATCTTTTCTTTCTAGGGAAGGTTGTTGAGAAGGTTTGGCGGTGGGTCCAAATGGCTCTGAAGAAAATTATCTAAATCCTTTTTAGTTCAGTTTCAGACAGGAAAATAATACAGAAACAGCATTGATCAAGCTTGTTGGTGATTTCTGGTAGACCAGATCAGGGATGATGCGACTGTTTTAGCTTTCTCTGATTTCTTAGTGGTTTTGATGCATTCCATCACAGTGTCATTCAGGACCATCTATAAGGATTAGGAATGATGGACATTCTGCTATAGTGGTTCTCCTCTTTTCTTCCAGGCAGTATTAACGGGATGGTAGGGGGAGGAAGAAGGGACATGGTGGCTTAGTGGCTAAGATGCTGAGCTTGTCGATCAGAAGGTTGGTAGTTCAGTGATTCGAATCCCTAGCGCCACGTAACAGAGTGAACCATTACTTGTCCCAGCTTCTGCCAACCTAGCAGTTTGAAAGCATATAAAAATGCAAGTAGAAAAATAGAGACCACTTTTGGTGGGAAGGTAACAATGTTCCATGCGCCTTTAGCATTTAGTCATGCCAGCCACATGACTACGGAGATGTCTTTGGAAAGCACTATCTCTTCACCTTAGAAACAGCGATGAGCACTGCCCCTAGAGCTGGAAATGACTAACATGCATGTGTGGGGGAACCTTAGGGGGAGGGAGAGAGATCTGCCCCAAAACTCTTGATGTGGGTACTATACAGTGGTGGGTTGCTACCGGTTCTCCCCGGTTCGCGAGGACCAGTAGCGGTAATTTGGGCTGGTTCGGAGAACTGTTAGTAATTGCTGGCTGGCCATGCCCCCAAACAGGTACGCTCGCTCTCACCCCAGCTGCCCAACGCTCGCTCACCCCGCCCCCCTCCACCCAGTCACTCCTCACTTATACTGTGTGGGTCCTCGCTTGCAGCTTGCCTGCCTGAAGTATTGCGCCTGAAGCACTGTGCCTGCCAGGTAAGCCTGCGAGTCGTGGCCTACCTAGCTGCCCCTGCCCCCCCACCACCATCCCAGCCTGCCTCCCCTACTCCCTTCCCCGCAGCCCGTAGCCCTGCCATGCTTCCCTGCCTTCCACGCGGCTTTCCCAGTGTCTCTGAGACCAGCTTGCGAAGGCAGGCAAGTGGGCCTGGCCACGGGGACCGCCAGGAAGGCAGGCAAGCATGGCAGGGCCACCCGGCTGTGGGGAAGTGAGCTAGCAGCTTAATTACTTCCCCGAAGCCCTGCCATGCTTGCCTGCCTTCCACGCTGCCTTCCCAGTGTCCCCATGGCCAGCTTGCTATCCACCCCCACCCTGCTTCCCTTTCACCTTTCTTTAACGTGCCCTGCTTCTGTCCCCAAACCTTGGGAGGCGGCGCAAAGCCCTTGAAGCAGCTGCAGGAGGGCATCCTCCATGCCGCAAAGCCCTCGAAGCAGCTGCAGGAGGGGGAAAAGAAAAAAAAAAACCTTGGCCTCTGAAGCCTCTCGAAGGCTTCGAAGGTGTGTGTGTGTTTAGCGGCGCTGAAGTGAGCCACGCGAAGGGACCCCACTGGGTAACCACACCGGCTGCAATTGGCCCCTTGCCTTCTGCTGCCGCCACCACCTCTGCCTCTTCCTTTTCTCTGCCAACAGAAGTCAGAGAGGAAAAGGCAGGCTTCGCCAAGCGTTTCTCCGCATTTCATCCCAAGTCAGCTGCCCTCGCTGGAAACGCGGAGAAATGGTCAGTTAATCTCTTCCCACAACTTCAAGGGGAGGAGAGCTCACTTGCAGGATTTGGGTTTAGCTAGTCTAGAGAAAAGAAGGACTGGGGGGGGGATGACACATGATAGCAGTATTCCAATATTTGAGGGGCTACCACAAAAAAGAGAGGGTCAACTTATTTTCCAAAGCATCAGAGGGTAGGACAAGAAACAATGGATGGAAACTAATCAAGGAGAGAAGCAACTTAGAACTAAGGAGAAACTTCCTAATAGTGGGGACAATTAACCAGTGGAACATCTTGCCATTAGAAGTTGTAGGTGCTTCATCACTGAAGATTTTAAAGGAAAGACTGGATAGTCACTTGTCTGAAATGGTATAGGGTCTCCTGCTTGAGCAGGGGGTTGGACTAGAAGACCTCCAAGGTCCATTCCAGCTCTATTCTGATCAATTGATATATTGATTGATTGACCATAGAATATGTTGCTTTGCAAAGAGAGACAAAATGGAAATGGTCAGGAGTAGAGGGATTCTCTGCCTCTATCCATCTCAGACTAGCAGTGATTAACTGAATATTCACATTAAATGATACAAAGAAGGATATACCTTTGGATTGTAACAGAGGAATCAGGGTTCAGAAGAATTTAACAGTTATCTGGTCTCCTTTTCATTGTTCAGTGCTTTGTCCCTAGTCACATGAAATCAGATCCATGTTGCTAAAAGTTCAAAAGTACTTTCCTCCAGTCTGGCACCCTTCAGACAAGTTGACACTTCACTTCCCAGAATGCTGCAAGTACTGGGAATTCTGAGATTTGCTGCCCTGGAAGGTACATGTTGGATGGAATAGCTCCCTTATCTATGATAGACTGTTCCTTCTGATGGCACAATTTAATCACTAATAAATAATCCCCCCTTTTTTTCTTTTTCCAGGTGCATTTTCACTTTCTGTTAGAGACATCATCTGTCAAGGAGATATTGTTAAGCATTATAAAATCTTCACTATGGACCAAGGTGGATACTACATCTGCCCCTGGATTACATTTTCTTCTTTGCAAAAGCTTGTCAAGCATTATTCCGGTAAGAATACTTCTGACATCTGTCAGATTCATATTTAATAAGACATAAAGCAGAGAATGTTCCATAGGAGCAGAACAATTTAGCTTAAGTTCTGTGGGTTCTTTGTAACATATGAAGAAAGCAGAACAGTTTGCAACACAAGTCAGTTCAGATTGTCCAAAGTCAATGAAGATCCAAGAGTTGAGATGGCCAATGTAAGCATATGAGAAAAAAAAAGTATCAATGTTATTATTTTTTAAATTGATTTTGATTAGATATTTAAAAGTACAATCAAGGAAATAAAATAGAAAAAAGATAAATGGAACATTAAATTAAATAAAATTCAGTTTAAAAAGCTGACTGTAGTTTAGATCTACCTAATTAAGTCATAAATATAATATGAACTATAACTCAGAACAGGAAATTGCAGTAATTTTGCCTAACCTAAGAAATCTATCCTTGATTAGCAAATCAAACCCAGACTTAAATGTTAACTTCTTATTTTAAGAGAAACCCAAACTTTATATGCAGTAAAAGCCCATGTATAGAATTATAGTCCAAGAATACTGCAGTTGTCATCTTGTACTGAATTCTGCCTTAGATTTGTTTTTCCAGATACCAGATTATTTTTTACTTTATCTTGTGCTCCCAAAATTTACCCCTGCCACTTCTCTCAAAGGTGGAGGAAATGGAAATCCATCAGTGCTGTCCCAAACATATTGTTTGTTAATTTCAAAGACTGCAGTGAGGACAAAACCGAGAGGACTACTAGTTTGCATTAGTATTTTTCACCTACACATCCTACCTGCATGAGTAAGGTCACCATAGAACAGCAGATTTGAATAATTCCTATTCCCTTGATATGCAGCACAGAGCAAGTGAACTCTCATGATGATGATGATGATGATGATGATGATGATGATGATGATGATGATTTCATGCATTTGATGCATTTCCTCCCATTGCATAGTGTTTGGGTATCACGGTTCTACTATTAATGTTATAAAAGGATCAAAAGTTTTAGAGGGCTAAGTGATGAAGCAAAATGTGAAAATCTCTGCTTGTCTCAATTCTTTCCCTACCTTCAGGAAAGAGACCTGAAAGTTCTCTTCTTCCTTAATTTGGGGACAGAGATGATTTTTCCAACCTCAAAACTATAGGGAACTGTCCAACTGCTTTTTGTTATCTCATTCTCTGAAATTTACCTTTGGTTTGTCCTGCTTCCTCTTTGTGTCATCCTGCACAGATAATGATAATGGTTTGTGTCAGAGGCTAAGATATCCATGCAAGTCTCTGACTCCAGAAATACCCTGGGCTGCTGATGAATGGGAAATCCCACGAGACACCATAAAACTCATCAAGAAACTGGGAGCAGGCCAGTTTGGTGAGGTGTGGATGGGTAAGTTAAGACTGATACTGTAACCTCCATGACTTTATGAAATCCTTTATTTACTCATTGATATTTTGTTCCTCCTCCTTTTACTTCTACTCTTTCTCAAAAATATCTAACTAAAAGAGAAAGAAAAAAGTTTGGTACTGCCCACTCCATATACAGTATGAGCTCTTGCCTTTCAGTTGAAGGCTCTGGCAATGTGAAGAGGAAGTAATGTACTGTATGGAAATCTTAGGTTTCCATTTGGTTTCAACTTTATAAAGTGCTTACAAAAATGGCAAAATTATGATATTTAAATGCAATCCATTTAAGAACGTTAAAATAATGCTACCAGATCAGGCCTTCCAGATATTCCACCAACACTGAGAGAAGCTGAGGTTGGAGCTTGTAGCAAAGAATTATTTCTATTTTTGCTTGAATTGCTTTTTGATTGTATTGTTTTTATGTTGCTTTGTTTCATACAACTGTTCTGAGCCAGCCAGAGTTGTGTTTCTTAAATAAAACATCCTCAATTTCTTGATCTAAATCTAACAAGCAAATAAAATTAAGGATCTAGTTTCAATCCTTGGTATTTTTAGTTAAAGAAAAAACAATCAGACAGCGGTTGGTGGGTAAAATCCTGATCAGCCACAGCCAGTCATGATAGATATAGCTATGCTAAAATAATAAGCAGTCTGGCCTGATAAATGGTCACATCCTTGCTTCCAAATTCTTGCCATACAGTACATTGAAAAGAAAAGTTCTTAATGAGGAAAATGTGGTCAACAGGGTCTCCTCTTGTATGGGGGAGTTTATGATTCCATGGTTTAAAAAGACCTTTCTCTTCTCCCGTTTTTCTTTTGTTTCCTATAAAAACGTGATGGAAATTTTGATGCTCTTATTCAGTGGTTTGCTCCCAAAAGGTGGCTGGGCAGACTTGGAATGTTCTGGGGGCTGCTGATTTTTGGTCTGAGAGCCATCATTTGCCCACAAACCTAATTATGTTTTATAGAATATTACCTGATAGTCATTCTATCCATGCCAGTCGGGCTTCAGGCAGGGGTACAGCACAGAAACGGCATTGGTCGCGTTGGTGGATGATCTCTGGAGGGCTCGGGACAGGGGTTGCTCCTCTGTCCTAGTCCTATTAGATCTCTCAGCGGCTTTTGATACCATCGAACATGGTATCATGCTGCAGCGGTTGAAGGGGTTAGGAATGGGGGGCACCGTTCTGCGGTGGTTCTCCTTCTTCCTCTCCTACCGCTCGCAGTTTGTGTTGGCAGGGGGACAGAGGTCGACCTCGAGGCATCTTGCATGGGGAGTGCCGCAAGGGTCGGTCCTCTCACCCCTCCTGTTCAACATTTATGTGAAGCCGTTGGGTGAGATCATCCGTGGTTTTGGGGTGAAGTGTCATCTGTACGCTGACGACACTCAGCTGTACATCTCCACCCCAGACCACCCCAACGATGCCCTTGATGTGATGTCTCGCTGCCTGGAGGCCGTGCGGGTCTGGATGGGGAGGAACAGGCTCAGACTCAATCCTTCCAAGACCGAGTGGTTGTGGCTTCCGGCGTCCCGATATAGTCAGCAGGTGCCATCGCTGACTATTGGGGGTGAATCTTTGCCCCCCACAGGCTCGCAATCTGGGTGCCCTCCTGGACGCACGGCTGTCTTTAGAAGAGCATATGACGGCCGTGGCAAGGGGGGCCTTTTATCAGGTTCGCCTGATTCGTCAGTTGCAGCCCTTTCTGGACCGGGACGCCCTGCGCACAGTCACTCACCCCCTTGTTACCTCCCGGTTGCACTATTGTAATGCTCTCTACATGGGGCTCCTCTTGAAGAGCACTCAGAGGCTCCAACTGGTCCAGAATGCGGCCACGTGTGTGGTTATGGGTGCAACCCGTTGCGCCCATGTGACACCCCTCCTGCGCGAGCTGCACTGACTCCCAGTGGTCTTCCGGGTGCAATTCAAGGTGTTGGTCACCACCTTTAAAGCGTTCCATGGCACAGGACCCAGGTACCTTCGAGACCGTCTTCTGCCACCGATAGTCTCCCACCGACCAGTCCGCTCCCACAGAGAGGGTCTCCTCAGGGTGCATCGGCCAAGTCATGTCGGCTGGCGACACCCAGGGAGACGGCCTTCTCTGTGGGAGCCCCAGCCCTGTGGAATGAACTGCCCCCGGAAATTCGTAAGATTTCTGACCTCCGGGTATTTCGCTGCGCACTCAAGACCCTGTTGTTCTGCCAGGCTGGGTTAGCAACATAATTTTAAATTGGATGTTTTAAATTTTTGGGGTTTTAAATTAAGCCAAATTTATTTAATATTTTTAAATTATTTTAAATTGATGTTGATTCTGTTTTTAAATAGGCTGTACACCGCCCTGAGTCCTTCGGGAGAAGGGCGGTATAGAAATAAAATAATAATATTATTATTATTATTATTATTATTATTATTATTATTATTATTAATTTCCATCCACCCCTTTTGCAGGTTATTACAAGAACAATGTGAAGGTTGCAGTCAAGACGTTAAAAGAAGGAAGCATGGCCCCCGATGCCTTTTTGGCTGAAGCCAACTTGATGAAGAGACTTCAGCATAACAAGTTGGTTCGATTGCATGCTGTGGTGACCCAGCAGCCAATTTATATTGTAACAGAATATATGGCCAACGGTAAGTCTTGTTAATCATTCTAATGGATCATTCTAACTATATCAGTGCTATAGTTATGAACTAAGCAGGCCAAATCTGATTAAGGGGCATTTTTTCCCAAGTGTTTGTGATTTGCTTAATGAGCCTCAAATATTTGGAGCAGTCTATTTTCCCTGCTCTTTCAACACAGGTTCACAGGTTCACAGTACAAGCAACTATCGAAGTAAGTCTGTATGCTATTGTTGCAAAGTGGAAATTGCCATGAAGACAACATGGCTGTAATTCTTCCATCCTTACCTTTGTTCATATTTTGGGTACAGGGACTCTGTTGTTAATAGAGCCCCATTTTGGGGGAAGCATCTAGTCTTTTTTTTTTTTTGTCTTTTTTTTTCTTCCTCCAGCCATTTCTCTCTCTCTCTTTTTTTTATTACAGAGTTTTACAAAAAGAAGAAAAAATACTTTTTTTACAAGTATTTCCCCATCCCCCCCATCCCTTCCTTACCCCCCCCCACTCCCCCCGAACTTCCCAGAACAAAATACAGGGTATAACAATTAACAATTATATGCTAAACTAAGCTAATTAACTAAGGATTCCTATCCCCCCTTCACACTTTAACTCCCCTTTTACTTAACTAGATATAAATACTCCTAATTTTTCTATTCATTCATAAGCTATTTGATACTTTTTAGTCCGATATTTGTTTTGAATATAATCAATCCATCTTCTCCATTCCGATATATATCTTTCTTGTGAGTGATCTTTCAAAAATGCTGAAATCTTCGCCATTTCTGCCAGATTCGCTACTTTTAATGTCCATTCTTCAATGGTAGGCAAATCTTCCTTCTTCCAATATTGCGCCACCAAAAGTCTAGCTGCAGTTATTAAATTTAAAATCAATTTAGTCTCTATAACCGTACAATCTGTAATTATACCCAGCAAAAACAATTGTGGAGTAAACTTTATCTTCTTTTTAAGAATATTTTGGATAATCCACCATATTTCAATCCAAAATGCTTTAACTTTTTTACAAGTCCACTATATATGATAATAAGTGGCATCTTCACAATCACATCTCCAACACTTAGATTGTAAATTTGGATACATACAAGCCAACTTTTTAGGATCTAAATGCCATCTATAGAACATTTTATAAAAATTTTCTCTTAAATTTTGTGCTTGCGTAAATTTTACATTTCTAACCCATATTTTTTCCCAAGTTTCCATCATTATTGGTTCCTGAATGTTTTGTGCCCATTTTATCATACAATCCTTAACTAATTCCGTTTCTGAATCTATTTCTATCAATACATTAGATAATCTTTTTATATGCATTTGACCTTGGTCTCTAATTTGTTTTACCAAATTTTCCTCATTCTGCATGATACCAATTCTCTGATCTTCTTTCCATCTAGCTTGCAACTGACCATACTGAAACCAAATTTGAATTATTCTTTCTTCTTTTAATGCATTTAAAGTTCCAGCCATTTCTCAAGTAGGGATTGAGTAATCCCAACATTGAGTAATGTTGACAATATAATTAGCTAATCCAATCCTATGTAGCCATAGGCAGGCTACACTGATAGTAAATCTATTTGCATATATACACAAAATTTTATTGAAGAATCAACAAATTGAAAAGTATTCTAAGAGGTCAATTCCAAATCTAATGATATGATAATGCAACCATTACAAAATCACTTAAAATCTGATTTTTTTAAAAAAAATCACTAATTAAGTGGTATGAGTCTCATCCCTTGTCAAGAATCACAGCCTAAAGCTGAACCCAAATACCAACTGAAAACTGACTAATACAGTATTATCACATCCACCTTTATGAATATTTATTTCAACCAAAAATGTCCTTATATTTTTATTGTTGTTTTTATTTTTGGACAGGAAGCCTGCTTGATTTCTTGAGCACCAATCAAGGGAAGAATCTGTCTCTTGCAAAACTGATAGATTTCTCCGCTCAGGTAAATTATTTAATACTCTAATGGTACAAAGTCTTGGTATTTTCTCAACCTAGCAATTATATAACAATAGAATCCCCAATCACTGTCAATCTAACTTTTTTCAAAAGAAAATAAAAAGATATGTGTGGGAGAACAGGGGAAAAAAGTAACACAGAGATGCATAAAGGCTGCAGACAGAGAGGAAAGAAGGGGAGGGGAGGGGAGGGGAAGGGAAGGGAAGGGAAGGGAGGGGAGGGGAGGGGAGGGGAGGGGAGGAGAGGAGAGGAGAGGAGAGGAGAGGAGAGGAGAGGAGAGGAGAGGAGAGGAGAGGAGAGGAGAGGTGAGGAGAGGAGAGGAGAGCTCAGTTGCTTAAGGGAAGTGCTTAGGAACTGAAGGGAAGGAAGCAGGTGAGCACAGATATGAAATGGTACAAGACACTAGATCGATCCCCTATACTGTCAACATGATGGGCAGCAAAGCATATCAGATTTGACATAACTTGAAACCACCACATGTTGCTCTTGGCTTAAGGAGAAAACACTGATACAATTAGGAAGAATTTAAGGGCATCTCATGGAAGAGCTGAAGTTGAATGCAACATCTTGAGGACATGAAAAAGCAAAGATGATGCCATGGGATGTTTCTGATATGATTAGATGCAAATGGGGAATAGTCCAAAGCAGAAGTGATTGACATATAGATTAGATGGTAGAGAAAAAGAAATGGAAGGTGTTACCAAGAGAGTTAAAATGAGAGAATGTGAAGGAGTAGTGGAGGACAAAGGGGAAAAAAATGTGTTGAAGGGATACACCTGAGAGACGAAAGAAAAAGCAGAAATAATAAAAAGAGACACAGAGAAGCTATTTTCCTGATCCTGAGATGTAAATTCCAGCAGATAATCTCTGAGGGAAAATGACTGTGAGCCCAAAAAAGAGGTTTCCTGGCTATTACATCATATTTGAAGATTCAGGCTCAATTTTATATATTAAATTTACATGCCTCCCATCTCCTCGATAAGGTGACTCTGCCTACCCTACCATGACACTCATCAAATGGTCATGGAGAGATCACTGTTTCAAAGCCGGACATTCCTGACAATGTTGTAGTAAAGACTGAATGCAGAAGAAGCCTGTAAAATACTTTTTTGAGTTCTTTCTGTGAATATAAAGCACATATGGATTGAAATATTTATTTCAAATTGTTTACCTGCATAATGAACACAGCAGCAACTGACCACCAAATGTATGTCTAATAGCGAATGTCATCACAACAGTGTTATTTGTGTAAATAGGCCCCAGGCACACCCAGCGATCACTCCTTATTTCTACGCAAAAGTTAAAATTAGAAGGCTATCAATGTGCACTTGGTCCTGTGGTCAGCCTCACTAGTACATTGAGAGGAAACCAGACTGCAACCTTTATCACATTGAGATCAGGACAGGAAATAGCACTCTTCTGGGCGCTCCATTTTCCACTGAGGTGAGCAGCATTTGAACGAAAAGCAAATCAACTTAAGCATATGACATAGTTGTGGAAAATATGTTTTCATATCCTTTTTGAAACCGTGTGAAAAAAAACCCCTAACAAATCTGTATGGAATAAAAAATGTAGTGTCCCTTTAGTTAAAAAAATAAAAATAAAAAGCCATAAGGGTGAGTAGAACATCAGGGCTATACAGCTCTGTTTGCTGGCAGAAGATCTGGGATTGCATCTTTCAATAAGATGCCTGGCTTAGCAAGAGCAAAAAAATGACCAGGATTTCATTTCCAGAAGCAGCAAGCAAAGCCAAAAGGCTTTTTCTGTTTTGGAATTCACTCTTATTCAATTTTCCATTGTTTAAAGTGTTTTTCCCAAATGGATCTGTTAAGGAAAATGGCAGTCAAAAATGCACGTTAGTGAGAAACCCTCACCAAACCCAGAAACTCTTCTCTTGCTCATTGAGCAAGACAACCTTTGAATCATTTCAACACCAGATATGTTCACTGTTGACTTTATTTTTCCTAGATTGCTGAAGGGATGGCATATATTGAAAGAATGAACTTCATCCACAGAGACCTCAGGGCAGCCAACATTCTGGTCTCAGACTCCCTTTGTTGCAAAGTTGCTGATTTTGGTCTGGCTAGACTCATAGAGAATGAATACCTTGCACAGGAAGGTTAGTGAAACTTTGTGGTAAAAGAGATAGAATTGCAGGTCATATTCCACTGAACAAGAAAAGTCTGGAGGTAAAAGATTTGCTTTTTTTCTGCACAAGGATTATTACCTGAGTGGTATTTCCGTAATCTACGCTCTGTGCCCTTAGCAATGTAACTGACGTTTATGCCACTTTAAACAGTCTACAAAAGAATGCTGTCTGTTGCAATCGTAAATAAATAAACACACACATACGCATAAATAAAGGACTATTTTATTCTAGTCCCCAAATTCATCCATTCATTCATTCTGGAACTTTCTAATATACAAACTCACGCACAGCTAATTTTCTTGTACTTCTCATTATCTCCTATATGTCCTTCAGTTCTCTCCCTTTATCTTAAGCTGAGCCACAAGGCCTGGTTTTGTATTAAGACTGTATTCCAGCTTGGATCACATGATAAATCTAGATAGCTTACTAAAAAGCAGAGACATCACCCTGCCAACAAAAGTGTGTATAGTCAACGCTATGGTTTTCCCAGTTGCAATGTATGGCTGTGAAAGTTGACCATAAGAAAGGCTGAGCATCAAAGAATTGAGGCCTTTGAACTATGGTGCTGGAGAAGACTCCTCTGAGTCCCTTGGACTGCAAGGTGATCAAACCGGTCAGTCCTAGAGGAGATCAACTCTGACTGCTCTTTAGAAGGCCAGATCCTGAAGATGAAACTCAAATACTTTGGCCATCTAATAAGAAGGAAGGACTCACTGGAGAAGAGTCTAATGCTGGGAAAGATTGAGGGCAAAAGAAGAAAGGGATGACGGAGAATGAAGTGGCTGGATGGCAGAGGACAGGAAAGCCTGGAGGAACTTTGTCCATGGGGTTGCGATGGGTCAGACATGACTTCTCAACTAACAACAACCAACCTAGCCTAGCCATCATCATTATTATATAGCGCTCCATGGCATAGGGCCTAGCTATCTCCGAGACCGCCTGCTGCTACCGACGACCTCCCATCGACCCGTGCGCTCCCACAGAGAGGGCCTCCTCAGGGTGCCATCAGCCAAACAATGTAGGCTGGTGGCCCCCAGGGGGAGGGCCTTCTCTGTGGGGGCTCCCACCCTCTGGAATCAGTTGCCCCCGGAGATAAGAAGAATCCATGACCTCAATGCCTTCCGTCGTTCCCTGAAAACCTATCTTTTTCAGCAAGCCGGGTTGGCTTAGAAGAAATTTTTAAATTCTTTTAATTAGTTTGTGATTCTTAACTTTCGGGCAAAAATTTATATATATTTTTAAATGTTTTAATATTTGTATTCTATGTTTTTTATCTTGGCTGTACACCGCCCTGAGTCCTCAGGGAGAAGGGCGGTATATAAATTGGAAATTAAATTAAATTAAATTAAATATAAGAGCCTTGGTGGAGCAGTAGACTAAAGTGCTGTTAAGTAGCACTTAGCTGCCAGCTGCCTGCAATTAATGCGAGTTCAAATCTCACCAGGCTCAAAGTTGACTCAGCCTTCCATCCTTCCAAGGTAGGTAAAATGAGGACCCAGATTTGGGGGCAATAAGCTGACTTTGTATAAAAAATAACACCGCTTGGGGGCCCCCCGAAAGCCCTACTAAGCAGGTATATACAAAAGTATGAAGGCTATTGCTTAACGCATTGTAAGCCGCCCTGAGTCTCCAGAAAAGGGCGGCATATAAATTGAACCAATAAATAAATAAATAAATTATATACTGCTTAGATATCTAGTACATGAGAAGTAATAGTCAAATACACTGTATAAAATAATAAATAAAATCAGATATTGCCTAGCCTGACGATTCTCCTATGCATAGGATTTGAAATAGCTGACCTTGAAAAGAGAACATATCCTCCTTTATCTGACACACTGTACCTACTTTCCTTCTTGTAGACCTAAAATATTACTTGAGAAGTGATTTTTGGCTAGAATTGAGATATGCAAAATCTAGTGCGTGTAAGCTCAAAACATAGCCTTAACGCCTAAATTTTATCTGGTATGGTGATTTGTCATTGTGTCCTTCCTAGGTCTGAGAGAGAGGGATTGGCTTTGTGTCTAATGCAGGACTAGAACTCACACTCTTCTGGTTTCTAGCCTGATGCCTTAACCAATGCACTGAACTGGCTCTGATATATTGGCTGCACTAAATTGCCCAATGCATAAATAAATTGTACTAGACTCGCTTTCAGTGCTGAACTTCTTCACATCTTTTCTTTTCAGTGTACTGTAGTAATCAGTATCAGTGAGCTGGTCAAGTGTTCCTGATCTGGTATATTTATGTTCTTATTCATACTCCCACACCTTAGAATATCTTATCCAGTTTAAGCAAAGAAACTCAAAATAGATATTCAGAACCAAATTATGCTATGAGGTTTTCATTTTAAATGACTTCTTTAATGGCAGGTGCCAAATTTCCTATCAAATGGACAGCACCAGAAGCAATTAACTATGGACTTTTCACAATCAAATCTGATGTCTGGTCCTTTGGAATTCTTCTCACTGAAATTGTTACCTACGGGCAGACTCCCTATCCAGGTAAGGCAGGCGGCAAACTAACACCCTTCACTGCTTTGAACCGATGCTTCTCTCTGATTCCTCCACTATGGGTAAAAGCTGAAAAGGGTTATTGTTAGGTTAATTGTTCAGCCCAGTACTAGACAGCTTTTCATCATTGTATATTTTATTTATTTATTTGTAAACCTATAAGGTGAGTTGGACTGGAAGAGAGTAACTAGTCCAAGGTCTCCAGCTGGCTTTCATGACTAAGGTGGGACTAGAATCAATAGTCTTCAGCTTTCTAGCCTGATGCCTTAACCACTGGCTTAAAATATACTTCAATTGCCTTCAGATCAGTGGTGGGTTTCAAAATTTTTTACTATTGGTTCTATGGCTTGGTGGGCGTGGCATGGCTTGGTGGACGTGGCTTGGTGGGCATGGCAGGGGAAGGATACTGTAAAATCTCCATTCCCACCCCAATCCAGAGGAAGGTTACTGCAAAATCCCCATTTCCTCCCAATCAGCTGAAACTTGGGAGGCAGAGAATAGATGGGGGCGGGGCCAGTCAGAATTTTTACTACCGGTTCTATGAACTACTCAAAATTTCCACTACCGGTTCTCCAGAACTGGTCAGAACCTGCTGAAACCCTCCTCTGCTTCAGGTGCACTTCAAATGGCTTGTTTACTAATTCAAATGTGATTGCGTTTGATTTCATCAGGTTCTTAGTCTTTATTTTTAAGGGATTCATTGGCACTTTTTTTTCATGAAACAGGTGGGATATGCATGCATTTGCAAAGCTGAAAGGAAAACAGGAATAGGAGAACTTAATAAATAACTGTAACTATCACCATCAACACACAAATACACTTAACCGTTAATGCTTCCTGCTTAGAAAATCTTACTTTTGAACACATTTGGAAAACACATTGTGCAAGATATAAAGACTTGAGCCACCAAGAACTCAAAACAGTTGTTTCAGAATTCCAAATGCATGTATGAATAATATATAATTTTGGTCCATTGTAAATCAAGAGCTACCTGTGCATTACATAGTTTATCTTTCCTTTTCTTCCCAATAGATATGATGAATCATGATGTTATCATGCATATAGAACAGGGCTACCGGATACCTTGTCCAGAATCGTGCCCCTCTAATCTCTACGCAATTATGTTAAAATGTTGGAAGGACAACCCAGAAGAACGACCGACATTTGAATACCTTCAGTCTACCCTTGAAGACTTTTATACAACCACAGAAAAACAGTATGAATCAGAACCCAAAAAATCCTGACCTTTGTTCATCAAAGCTATAGTTTTTTTAAATCATAGCATGGAATAATTGGGGAGAATTTCTTCTTAGCTACACTTTGCAAAGTTGTTCCCAATCATAGAAGTAAAGACATATCCATCTCTGAAGCTCTATTTACTGCATGTCCTTGCCTGGCTTTGGTTTCATCACCCAATGAAAAATAATGTAAACCATCAAGACTGGATTTGGAGAAGAAAGAACATGTGACAAAAGTAGGGTCTCATTCTTTCACTCATGCTTCCCGAATGCATGTCCACGTCAATTGCTCTGAAATGGTACCTTCTGCACTATGAGAAAGAATACAAAGTATGGAGTAAGTTCAGTTCAGTTAAAATCAATGTTTCCATTCAGATTGCTTCTGGAATCAGATGTGACCATTAAAATCACTCTGGTAAATCAAACTTACTCACTTCAGTGTTGTGGCTCACTTCATTGAATGCATGAAGTAGCTAAACAGAATAGTCTCTGATGAGATGGATAGTACATAAATGAGAGGGGGGAAAGGGAGAGGGAGAGAGAGATGTACAATTTAAATTGGGATGGCATCTAGGACAACTCACAGCAGCCAATTCACCACAGCCAACTTGCCACAGCCAAATTGCCATGGGATACCTCAACGTGGAATTAGTTCCTTTTATTAGTCATCAAAGCATTACAAAAGCTGGTAGTCTTTACTTTACTTTACTTTTACTTTACTTTTATTAGACTTCTATACCGCCCTTCTCCCGAGGACTCAGGGTGGTGTACAGCCATATTAAAACACATAAAATTTACAAAATTTAAAAACCCTTAAAATCAAATATACCAAAATTTGGCCCACAAATTAAAAACTAACATGCACCCATTAAAATTCATATTCATGTTAGGCTAGCCCGGCTTGTTGAAACAAGAGGGTCTTCAGGGCACGGTGAAAGGTGCGCAGGTCGGGAATCATACACACATCTAGGGGCAGCTGATTCCAGAGGGCTGGTGCCCCCACAGAGAAGGCTCTCCCCTTGGGCATCGCCAGTCGACATTGTTTGGCTGACGGCACTCTGAGGAGCCCCTCTCTGTGGGAGCAAATTGGCTGGTGGGAGGCTGTCGATGGCAGAAGGCAGTCTCGTATATATCCTGGTCCTAAGCCATGGAGCGCTTTAAAGGTGGTAACCAACACCTTGAATCGCACCTGGAAGAAATGACTTCCTTTGATACAAGAGATAAAGTAATTTTGACGAAAACGTGGTCAATAAAAATAAAAGGAACTAAGTGAATCCTGTGGTGAGTTGTCCCGCAGCAGCTTGGCCATGGCGAATTGGCTTCAGTGAGTTGGCCATGGTGAATTGTTTCATTCCATAAGTGGGTCTAAGCAACTACATCTAAGTACAGTGAGATTTATTCTTCTTTCATTTGTTTTGTTGGATTTTATTCAAATTGTTATTTTGCTATGTGATTTTCACTGTTATATGCCATTGAAGGTTCAAATGCTTATGGAATATAAGTGTAACATGGTATGGAAACCCATTTATCTGTGACTGTGATGCCTTGGAGAATGAATGGAAAGCTCTTTTTTCCTCTTCTTCTTGTCCTCCATCTATGGATGCCAACTATTTCAGGGAAGAGAGTTCAGGAATGAAGAATAGATAATTGTTTCTTATTAAGTCAGAACTTTGATTCATCTAATCTACACTACATGCTGGCCAATTTTCTTTTGTGGGGGAGTGTCAGAGAGAAATGGACATTGGTTGCTAGGATCTGGAAATATTAAATGTGATAGCATCTGGAAATGTTAAAAATCCTGACTTCTGGTGAGAATATGGTAAGCTGAAGACATGTCTGAAAAAACATTATGGATGACATAATGGCTGAAATCTGTGGCCAGATACAGACAGACAAAATCTCTCTGGAAAATAGAGACATTGTGAGATCGCTCACATGAACTCCAGAAAGGTGTTCCTCCTAAGTAAACTGCAGGAACCGACATTTTTGCAGTCAGCTTGTGCGTCACGTGGCTAGGAGTTGAGGGATTACATCAAAGCTCATAGTCATAATGTAGCCTTTAAGGATGCAAAATTCACTCCTTTCTCATTTCTTAATCACTTTGGAATTAATTTTTATTGCTTTTTAAAATTAAAAATATAAGGACATTTATGGACTTCATTGGCTGAGTTTCCTTCAATCCAGTATGAAATAACTTATAATGATATATTTAAGGATGTATTTGTTTTTAGAATTAACAGCAAATAGGTGATTAGAGTGTTGATTTTCAAAAGTTATAATGGACCAAGAGTTCAGAATGATTTAATAAAATTTAGGAAAATGATTATAAGCATCCTTCCTGGGGAAACTATTCCTGTTTTTGCATTTGGAAGAAAAAAACATGATGAGGCTTTGAAGACTGGACATTCTAGGGCACCAGAAAGGATACATTGAGAAATATTGAGAACAATTAATTAAGAAATTAGTTTTAAGGATCACTGACATTATTGATAGACTAGATCATGCTGTGGAAGTGGAAGAAGTTTTGCTGAACACAACTGAAATTAATATGTACTTAAAAGTGATAAACTAAAAAAAGGGTATGGAAAATGCCAAAATACAGGTAGTTCCCAACTTGTGACCACAATTGAGCCAAACATTTATGTTGCTGAGTGTGACAGTTAAGTAAATTTTGCCCCATTTTACAATCTTTCTCACCACAGTTGTTAACTGAATAATTGCAGTTGTTACAGTAGTGGCAAAAATTGTGGAAACCTTTTGGGAAAAGTGTATTTTTGAGGTTTGATGGCTAATAACACCACTTTTTTTTTTTTTTGGAGTTTCAAGATAATCATATTCCACTGCTGGAATGGCCTGGGGATAGCCCAGACCTTAACCCAATTGAAAATCTATGGAGCCAACTAAAAAAACTTGTTAGTCAGAAGTGACCAAGCAATAAAACCCAGTTAATAGAAGCAATCATTCAATCTTGGTTTCACATTATAACAGCTGCAGAACTAAAAGACTTGGTTCACTCCATGGGAAGACATTATAAGTCCATAATTCATACTAAAGGTTACCCAACTAAGTATTAACTGACATGGTGATATTTGTATATCTCGTTTTTTCTACGTGTTTCACTTTTCTTCTTTATACAGTAACTGCTATTCTAATAGCAAATCCTTCATAGAAGTTATTGCATTACATTCTTGATTAAATTATCTTTTCATTGATATATAATTTTATGGTACTACTCCCCAAAAAACTGGTGTTATTTGCTACTTTTAGAAAATACACTTTTCCCAAAAGGTTTCCACAATTTTGGCCACTCCTGTAGTAACAAAGTAAAATGGCTGTTAACCAAATCTGGCTTCCCCATTGACTTTGATTGTCAGAAGGTCGCAAAGAGGGATCACATGACCCTGAGACACTGCAACCATCATAAATATGAACCAGTTGCCAAGCATCTGAATGTTGGTCATGTGACCATGAGGATGCTGCAATGGTCATCAGTGTGAAAAATGGTCATCTGTCACTTTTTTCAACTTCAAACGATTATTAAATGAACTGTTGTAACTTCAGACAGTCATTAAATGAACTGCTTTAATCGAGGACTACCTGTATTGAATATACAAATGAAATCAACTGAAGTTCTAATAACTAAAAAAGACATACAAATAATAGGCCAGAAAAATGATTTGGATAACCTTTCTATATGGGATTTTCAACAGGGACTTGTTAAAGATCAGAATGGTTATGGATAACCTTTTTGTATTTGATTTACAAAATGGATTTGTTAAGGTTGTCAGTGATTTTGTGAGAAAGACAAAGAGAAAATGAAAAGAAACCAGGAGTTTGGACTCTAAAGAACTAAAGATTATTGGGAGCAAGTGGAAGGAATTCAAATGGATTTATTAGATCAAGTTTATTTCTGGTAAGCCTTCAAGAACATTTACTGATTAGGATGGAACGTGAAGCTTTAAAGACACATTTATAAAGAATTGGGTGAGACATAAAAAAGACAGTTGTATTTTAAGAGATGTTAATAAATTGTTAAAATTGCTTATACTTGCTGGGAAGAAAGTGGAAGTTAGTTTTTTCTTTCTCCTTTTAAACATCTTGTTTTTCATTTTTCTTTTTTCTTGCACTTTTTTTTATAGTTTGCATTAGTTTTATCCCCATATATAATATCTTCAATTTATCTTCAATAAAATTATTTTTTAAAGAAAATAGAAATGTTAAAGGTAGAACCTGAGCCGTGCATATAATTCATTGATCTTTCACTGAGCTGCTTTTTTCCTCCACAGCTGGGAAACCCCTGTTAAGGAATCCAACCAGTAGTTTCATAAATGAAGAAAGTTCTCTCCAAGGGTAGTCTCCATCTGGCAGCTTCCAGGACAGATTTGCTGCTCCTGCACCTTCTGGCAGCTGATTAACTGGCTGAGTTGGTGTTAAGATTATCATGCAAATTCAAAGAGCTGTGTTTGCAAGTGGGTGGGCGAACAGCTGCCAATGCCCAGTTCAGTACAATCTGCGTGGGATGTAGCTAAGGAGGAAGTACACCCGTGTAGTCACTCATGCACCATGGCGTGAAATTGTGACCTGGGAAAGAACATGTTTAATGGGGGTAGCTGAGTGTCTCGCCCACAGGCTAGCAAGCGTCTTTCAAACCAAGTGCATATGGTGACAATTACAATCACATGTAGCTCACAGCATATCACACAGTCACAAAATGGCTGGGGTGGGCAGCTACAGAAATTGAGTAATCCAATAAGAAGCAGTATGTGCTATATAGTTGTCATCTCCAAGGCTAAGCTGTCTCACAGGTTATTGGGCACAAAATATTGGCTCAAGATACAATTGCGATAACTAGTGAATGCATTTACCTTAAGCATTTAAACTATTCCTTTAAATAATTATAATTATTATACTAATTATAATTATACATAATGCAGGCATCAAATATGCACAAAGCATGTATCAATAATATGTTGTTGATGAAAGGTTAGATGTAGCACTGGTTTTATTTATTTTGTATTAGGTAGCAGAATACAGCATTAATACACAAAATTCACAAAAACAGCATATAAAACATTTATTGAAATGTAAAACACCATAATAGTGAATTATTACAATACGAATGATGAGTAAAATTATGAATAAAATTAAATTATGTATGGGCAGTTACAGATGATCAAGAAAATTAAATGTAGAATTAGATGGGTCTTGGGTAAGACTACAGGTAGTCCTCAACTTACGACCCCAATTGAATCCAGAATTTAAGTGAGAATTGCTAAGTGAGAAATTTGTTAAGTGAGTTTTGTGCCATTTTACAACTTTTCTTGCCACATTTGTTAAGTGAATCACTGCAGTTGTTAAATTAGTGACACAGTAACACTTGTTAAGTGAATCTGCTTCCCCATTTGCTTGTCAGAAGGTCGCAAAATGGGATCACATGACCCTGGGACGCAGCAACCGTCATAATTATGAACCAGTTGCTAAGCATCCAAATTTTGATCACGTGACTATAGGGATGCTGCAAAGATTGTAAGCGTGAAAAGGTCACAAGTCACTTTTTTTAGTGCTGTTGTAATTTTGAACGGTCACAAATGAACTGTCGTAAGTCAAGGACTACCTGTTTTATGTCCTCATCCTATTGCTAAGTGGAAGTGTGCTCCTCCCATCTTTCAGCTGGTGTAAAATGATATTGACATGGAATTGGCTTTCCCCATTGCTGGTCCCTCTCCCATCTGTGTTTCCCAATCATTGGAAACCCCCTGATATCCCTCCAAGATAATGTGTGGCAGAGACTAATAGAAGATATACTTCCTGGCCTTGGACAGTCAGAATATGGGGCAAAATACCACATTAACATCAATACAACTAGAGAAGGTTTAGGCTCATGGGTTGGGAATTAGATTAAGACAAGATTGTACGACACATTAGCCTGAGAGGAAATGGATTTGCTAGTAGTTCAACATGTAAGAACTTAGAACAAGATCAAAAGCGATTTCTAAGAGGCCCATTTCTAACAGATTGACCATTTGGAGCCATTTGGATCACATCAGCCCATTTGGATATTGCAATTTGAGTCACTAAGGTGGAATAACTCACTCTACTCCAAAAATCCAAGGATCGGCCAGTGCCTTGAGATGCAGTAGCCTCAGTTTGCACATATTGGCTGATGAAATTCCATGACAAAAGGATTATTTCAAAGTTTGGATCTTCTTAATTTCCCTTCAATATTTGGAAAGACAACAAATAAATAGACCCCAAATATACAAGAACAGTATTGTCGTAATCATCATCATCATTTATTACTGATTATCTGTATTTATTAAGTGGCTAAAGGACAAAGAAAGCCTTGCTGCAAAATTAGTTTCTAATGTTTGTGACACATACATGCACACACAGAGAGAGAAAAGAGAAGCAGGTTCCAACAATTGTCGTTGCCTGATCTTAACAGGATTACTACTCCTGTTTCCATAAAAATAAGACATATCCTGAAAATAAGACCTAGCATGTGCCTAATATAAGGCCTACCCCAAAATAAGCCCTACTTAAGCACTTATGCGGCCGATTGGCTGGCTACCCATTCCATCTGGTTGCTCACGGTGCCACCAACATGAGGTGAGGCGAGGAGGGTGTGGAGCTGCCCACGCACACTCCACTGGCTTACCTCAGGGCCCCCCACAGCCAGGCCATCCACGCCCCAACAAAAACGGCCTTGAGGCCCATGGCACCAACACATTACTCGGCCTCCTGCTCCTTTGTGGCCATGAGCAAGCAGAAGGGGATCGGCAGCCATGTGGAGTCCTGCTGGACAGGGTTGCTGAAGCCACTGCCGCAAGGTGAGGCAGGTGTCGGGGCCTGGGCCTGGGGGGCCTGGCTGTGGGGGCCCTGAGGTAAGCCGGTGAGGGGAGTGTGGGACAGCCCCACCCCCCACCTCACAGCGGCAGCACTCGCATGCCACGTGGCCCCCTGCCTGGCTGCAAGCAAGCAGAAGACATGGCCCTCCCATACATGGAGAAAAAATAAGACATCCTCTGAAAATAAGCCCTAGTACTTATTTTGGAGCCCAAAAGAAAATAAGACTGGATCTTATTTTTGGGAAAACACAGGTAATTTATTTAAGCTATTTGAAGTGATAAGTGGCTCCCTTGGCATTACATTCACACACCTGCACAAACTATAGTTTTGCTGCCCTGGGCAACCGGCAGCTGCAGCCAAATGTTCTTTCTCACGAGTAAGTTGAAAAGCCATTTCCCTGCATCTTTTCCTGCTGTGGATGTTGATGAGGCATTACAGAATTGGCTGAAATGGAAACATTTTGTTCAGTCAATA